TTTGAGTAAAAATTCCATTACGGTGACCGAACACCCCCCCTATTCGCCGGATTTGGCCCCGTGTGACTTCTTCTTGTTCCCAAAAACCAAATTGGTACTTCGGGGGCGGCATTTGGGGGACATAAATGAGATAAAAAAAGCTACGACGGGGCAGCTGAGAAACCTACAACCAGAGGACTTTCAAGGAGCCTTCTCACAGTGGAAACGGCGTTGGCACAAGTGCATTATGTCACAGGGGGAGTACTTTGAAGGGGATAAAATTGATTTACCTGAATAATTGTAAAATAAAATTTTTAAAAAACTTTTATACGTACTTTCCGGACAAACCTCGTATAGGATGGTAGCTACTTTTTACCGCGGTCCGAAGTTGAATATATATAATTTATTTATTTTATTTTTATTTATTCATTAGTACAAACATGTGTACATGGCGGACTTAATGCCATAGGGAAACCATAGGGAAGTGTCAGAATACTCGAATGCGGTACTAGTAATTATTGATATAAATACATACTAAAATTACATATATAAACGAATCAATATATATGAATAACAAATATACTTACACATACATGACATATACTATATTATACACGAAATTGAGAATAATATAAAGTACTTTCTGCTCGGATAAAGTAAAAAAGGTGAGCATTAACGCTTTTTTTTAAATAAATATATATATATATATATATATATATATATATATATATATATATATATATATATATATATATATATATATATATATATATATATATATATATTATATTATATTAAGAACGAATAACTTAAAACAGAAATCGTGTCTTTCCTCGGTCTAGAAAATATAGTACAAGTGGAACTGAGAGCAAGTCGTAAATCTAAGCTAGACAATAGCTTGTTACAGAGATCGGAATGGTTCTCCGACACACTTATAGATTATTTCCCGAACAAAAGTTCTTTCTACCGCTGCTGTCGTTAAAGTACTAACTTGACGTTGCCACCCCATTACATTCAGATAAGAAATGTACGGGGAAAAGTTACGATGGAGAACCACTAGTTATTTCCAACGGCTTTGCCCACATTAATCAATATATAAAATATTGTATATAACCTACTCGTATAGGAAGGAGAAGGATTGTTAGTAATGGAGATCTTCATTGCTAGCAATATATCGGTAAACGTTGGCGGAACACCAATAAGGAATAATAGGTAAATTACCCTGTCTTGATGTACCACGATGGTTTCGTTACTAGCATACCCTAACAGGTCGACATCCACGCGCCAGTGTATACCGATAGCGCAGGCGGGGTTACCATTATATTACTTTGGAATCAACTTCCAGCAGCAGTATTTCCGAACCGATACGACAACATAACCTTCAAGAAAAGAGCATATTCCTTTTTAAAAGGCCGGCAGCACACCTGCAATGCCGTAGGTGTTGTGTGTGACCATGGGCGGCGGTAGTCACTTACCATCAGGTGAGCCGCATGCTCGTTTGCCCCTGTGTCGTAAAAAAAACCATCCATTAAAATCCATTAAAAAATATATATATATATATATATATATATATATATATATATATATATATATATATATCTTACGTAATAGATTCACTTAAATCAATCATTGTAATTCAACAGCCCGCGTCAGATTTAATAAAATTACAGAAACAGTATCCGTTATAAAAAAAGACGCGAAGGTAACGCGAGACGGACGAGGTGCTAATGGCGTTGAAAGGTTCGAAGCTGCGCCTACGTTTTATCATGATTGATGGCAGAGTTCGAGGCTCGGGTAATTTCTCTTATACACACACAAGGTGCGTACTGATTGAAATAAAACTGGGCCGGTTTAGACATGCCATTTCTTAGAGAAGTCCTATCTCTAAAATTCAAGTTTCGATTCGATATCACAGCGACATAGCTGTAGCTACTGCCGTGTGGTTCCGCCATAGAATGGGCCACCACTTCCTTTCCCGTGGATGTCGTAAGAGACGACTAAGGAAAATTTATGGCCGAGGGACGGGCACCATTTTTTTATTTTCACCACCGTACAACCTGCCATAAACTAAAGTTTCATCCCATCCCTCTGAACGAGTGATGGTTTCCACTCAACCACTCTTTGAAATCAACTTCCAGCATCAGTATTTTCGAACCGATACATCATAACCTTCAAGAAAAGAGCATATTCCTTTTTAAAAGGCCGGCAGCGCACCTGCAATGCCGTAGGTGTTGTGGGTGATCATGGGCGGCGGTAGTCATTTACCATCAGGTGAGCCGCATGCTCGTTTGTTCTCTGTGTTGTAAAAAAACCAGCATTCCTCTCAAAACATCACCAGAAATCAAACTGCGGTTATCAACTCGCCTGCTGAGCTTGGCAAATACTGACAAAACTCTCTCTTTGGAGTGAGGCCTATCTTCAGCAGTAGACAGTAAATGCCTGATATTATCAGAGCTATAAGAATTTTATATCAGTTGAATTCTGAATAAAATGCAACTCTAAAATTCACTGCTTATTATTAATAGCCGCTAGAGTATAAAATGGGGGAATTTCTCTCCCGTCTACAGCTTTGAAGAGCCTCCTATTCGAATATAAATTACAGTTCCGTAAAAGGAAAATATACCTCGTAAATATGACTTGGCGTAGTTTATAGAACATTTTTAAGAAACTGAGTTAAAACTAACTATAAATAATACATGCTAAGAATACATTGAAGTTAATAAAAAATCTGTAAAAGTGTTTGAAAACTATAGACAGATACATAAACAAAATCTTTAAACTATTTATTACCTCTCTTAAAAACTTATAAGAATTGTAACAATTTTTATAATATTAAAAAATATCTTCCAAATGATTATATTAGCAAGTAAAATACTTAGTATGTCTCTGATTAAATTAAAAAAAAAATTTAGATACCTTTATTTAATTTTTGAAATCTTTATTATAAAAAAAAAAACAAAAAATAAATGAACAAACTTATTCAGACATGTCTGATTATTGTAGTAAAATTACGTTAGTTTAAGTGAAATGTATTTAAAAGCAAAAACGAAAATTGATTTAACATTCGAATAGAAGACAATATCGCACTCATAAAAAAACTAAATTGGCACAAATTTTTATATTTGTATATTCGTAAACTTTTTTTTAATATTACTCGTATTTATTATTGATTTAAAAAGGCAAACTGGGCAGTGAAAGCAATAATAAAACATGGAATAAAGAATTTTAAATTAGTAAATAAAACAGCAAATGCTCAATTAGTATTTAAATTAATCCTAGGACAGTATTAAACAATTAAATAAAGAATTTGTTTTATATTCACGATCATCATGGAGAATGTATTTAAAAAAATAAGACTATAACTAAAAGTGCATCATCATATCAGCATTGTCCAGTCAGTTTTGTCATCAGTTGGCATGCTTAGCAGGCGAATTGGCAACCGCAGTTAGGCTTTAGAGATGTTTATTGAGGGTCACTGCTGCCAACCCCTCGCTGTCCCTTATTCGCCTCTTACACCCATAATAAAGGAAGGGGTGGCCTATTCTATGCCGGGATCACATAGCCAATATAAAAAAATTAAAGTACATAAATTTAGCTAAATCCCAGTACTAAATTTAGGCATATAATATTTATTTCGCTCATATAGGTTCTTCACTAAATAGGTTCTTCTCACCTACTTATTAGTAATTTTAGGTTTTATAATAACGTCTTAAGGTTCCATATCGTTTATTAACTACATCAAGAGTTAGTAGGGCAGAAATATTGCAAACTCCTAGGTCATTGATTAGGTTGCAGGTACGGGAAACATGTTATTAGGCTTCACGTCATATCTGGGTCACGAGGTACCCGTTGGCAAGTAGAGGAGTTTAGAAGTACCTATGCTTCTTATAAAATATCTATATATATTTTGAGATAAGTTATACTCTTATTTGAGTGAAAAAAAAATTAATGAATAAATTAATAATGAATTTAAAAGGTACAGAGGAATAACAGTTTAGTCCTCAGGAATGGCAACGCATAGAGGGTACCATAAGTGAAACGGTAAACTCTGTTATGGCCATGGTACTACTCATGTCTGTAGGCGGTTACCACTTTCCATCAGGTGGGCCGTCAGATTGTTTGCCATTCTTAGTTGCATAAAAATACATTTACATAATGCTTTTGTAGGAATTTTATCAAAAACGGGTCAATAGTTTAGTTTTTAGATCCAAAATAACCGGTATTGTCACAAGTGAAGTCAATCTCTTTTATGGGTCATAATCTTTAATTATTAACTTATTATTAAAGTAACTAGAACATACAAAATTCAACATAAATTGAAACCTTTTGATTTTAAATCAAACGCTATCCAGATATCTGTCTGAAATGTAGATGAATCCAATTTACATGTTAATTGCATTTAAAGATTACCTACAGTGTTTCAATCGTGGATAGAATTAAACCGAACTAGAGATTTGCTTTAACTTGTGTAAAATGTACCCGAATCTAATGCTAATGAACTGTAGCATCCATTTATATTAATCTCTTACAGATCACTCCTTTAACTGTGGGTTTTAAAGAGCATTTAATATACCATGTATCACCGTGTGATCCCGGCATAGAATTAATTGCAAGGAAACTTAGTAAACTTAGGAAACTCAAGGATGGGCAGCAGCAGTCTTAAAACATCTTCAAACGTTTAACAGTGGTTGCCAAACGTGGCAACTACAGGCAAACTCTCAAAGGGTAGGTCTTTGTACAGCAACGGACAGTTAACAGCTTCTTGACGGGCAGAATCTCTATGTAGACAATTTCGTGTACCCAATTAAAATATTTCCAATCTAATGTATCTACGAAACAAAAAAAAAAATAAATCTATCAAATAACACATAAAGCTCATCGTTCACAGGTGTGTGTGTATTTGTAACGTTTGAATTCGCAAAATTTATTTTTAAACCCTAAATAATATCGAAGTATTTTTACAAATTGAAACACAACTGGATCATTGAAAGCTCTTAACAATGTTCCTCGTATTGTTACAGCATACCTGGACCCGTACATAGTGCCAGCCAGCCTCGACCAACTCCTGGTGTCGAGTGACGTGGTCGGCAACATCAGATTTAGCCACCCGACGCTCTACGTGTTCCCGGGAGGTCAAGGAGACGCTGCACTCTTCGGAATTAACGGATTCAACATGCTAGGTGAGTTTTTTAATCATTATCAAAAAATGAGAATTAGGATTCAGGACTTCCTGATCTTGGTGCCTGTTTTAATCTCAGTGTCCTGAAAGGATCATTATCTCCCCCAGAACCAATCTATTGGGTAATTTCAAAACATTGACGATACCACTTCATTTAGTAGGATAGTTTTGCGTTTGAATCTTGGGGATGCCAAGTTCTTCCTTTCTCATCGTGTCTCAGTCCTTTAAGCTTTGTGGTTTTTTCATTAGCTTACTGACCTTTTAGGTTATATCGCTCATTTTGATTCTTTCCTAGATTATCATTACTCATATTTTTGCCATCAATCAGGTGTGGTCCATACATCACCAGAAAAATAACTCATTACTGACTTTAGTGATAATCAATAATACCTTATTACTAGATTATAGAAGTAAGTGAGACAAAGGTGGATAGATATAGACAGAGATAGCGTTAATGGTGCTCAGAATATGAAACAAATTTAACTCATCAACTCTAACAATGATTGTCAATCAAAAGGGTCACAGAATTCAATCGATTTTGTCTCTAGACTGTGGGTAAAAATTGAAATTCGTATGCATAGTATAGTTTCTATTTTGTTACAAATAAAACAAGGCGATGTTGAATCTAGTCTTAGGGTATTGGCTGCGATTTTTGTCGAAACTCAATTTCTAGAATGCTCGGGGCGGCGTAAGATTTTTACGGATAGAAGTTTATTGGCTAGGGTCCAAATTGATCTAGTCGTTTTATTTAGCTTATGTATAGATTATTATATAACTTGATGATATAAGAAAATTGTCAAGTTAGACATGTACAAATCTCATTCGTCCATCAATAATACATACATGTATCATAATAAAAACATTTTCATTTGTTCTTGACAATATTTCTTTGTCAGATAATTATTCCTTTAAACTGAAAATTAGAGTCTCTTTTATAATTGATATTTATATCAATTAATATATAACAAAATATATATTTTAACTGTCTCTTTAAATATATACAAATAAGGTTATCTTGAAAAGATTGCTCTCAGCAATAAGACCGCCTTACTGTACTTATACAATTGTATCGTTATATTGATTAATTGTGTTGTTTTCCCCTATATTGTATAATGCAAATAAAGTATACTCATTCATTCATTCATTCAAATAATAAAACAATAGAAAAATCACAAAAATATAGCAAAATAATAAACAAAAAAAAAAAACGTAAACAAAATATGTAAATTATTGTAAGAAATTTATACCAAAAATTAATACTTTTAAATTTAAATGATTACCAACACTTGTCTTCCAAAACCAGAACTCTCATTAAAAATTTATAATTTTAATTATTGTAATTACTGAAAATAATTCAGGCGCCAGAGGGAGATTTTTTACAGAAGTCTCTCTGGGCACCTCTGTCCCATTCGTGTTTTTATCATGAAGCAGTTGTGTTTGCATGGCTGTGTTTCGGTTTGAAGGGTGGGATATGGCAGTGAATTTACAATGTACAAAGGAATAACACCTGAGTCCTCAGGATTGGCAACACATGGGGAGTATCATGGGCGAAACAGGATATCTCTGTTATGTCCATAGTACTGCTCATGTCTATAGGCGACGATTACCACTTTCCATCAGGTGAGCCGTCGGCTTGTTTGCTATTCTAAATTGCCTAAAAAAAGGCAGAATTACCATAACCGAAGTAATTATTAAGATGGAATGTATCAATCGAAACAATAAGGCGGTAAATTTGTAATTTTCGAGTCCCTTAATTCGGAGTGGCTTCATTCGATACCATTAATGGCATATTTTACGTTTAGGAAAAGGCTTTTAGTGTAAGAGCCATTACTGTAGGATGTCTTGGCAGCGCTCCAATTTTGAGTGATAGGTACTGTGAGACGAGCTCAGATTTCTAAGTCAAGGTTTCATTGGGTTTTCAACATAAAAAAGATTATTCGTAAGTACAGAAGTTTAGCTAAGTAAAATATTATATAGTATTACATACATACATTTTTTTTTTACCGTGTCGGTCCAAAGGAATGGGCCTGATGTAATGTAAGATCACATCACTAGTGTTTATGGGACATCACTAGAGGTGGACACTGATTGGTTAATTAATAATATTGTGTAAAAATGGCTGTCTTTTTTTATACAACTTAGAATGGCAAACAAGCTGACGACCCACCTGATGGAAAGTGATAACCGTCGCCTATAGACATGAGCAGTACCATGGACATAACTGAGTATACTGTTTCGCCCATGATACCCCTCATGCGTTGCCATTCCTGAGGACTCAGGTGTTATTCCTCTGTACCCAGTAAATTCACGCCATATCCCACCCTTCAAACCGAAACACAGCCATGCAAACACAACTGCTTCACGGTTGAAACACGAATGGGACAGAGGTACCCAAGCAATCGACTTTTGTACAAAGTCTCCCTCTGGTAAGAAGTCTGACTGACTGACTAACTGACTGGTGTCTGAGTAAGGAATAAAGGATCTGCAATAATTAAATAAACCATCTATTATTAAAAGACTATAAAAATATAATAGGATCACCCCTTCCTTTCCCGTGGGTGTCATAAGAGGCGACTAAGGGAACTTAAGGTCGAGGGATGGGCAGCAGCGTCCCTCTTAAAACATCTTCAAAGGCCTAACTGTGGTTACCAACACGCCTATCAAGCGTGGCAACTAATAGCTAAAACACCCCTTATGGGAAAGGCTTATGTCCAGCAGTGGACAGTTAACGCCTGAAATGAATACATACATACATATCTGTCACGCCTGTCTCCCATTAGGGTAGGCAGAAACAATAGAACGTCAAATGCTTCGATTCAAACAAGCCTCTTTCCCTTCCTTTACATTCATCAATCTTTTCATACACGCTCGCCGGTTACGGGTACTTTTAATTTGGCCCTTCTTCAGCACGTCGCCTATGTGATCGACATACGTCCGTTTAGGTCGGCACCTACCGATGTCTCCATTCATTCTTACTTGATAAATCTCTTACGTATTTCTTCTTTCATCCATCCTCTCGAAGTGGCCAAGTGTAAAGATGTTTAAAGATATAGATGTTACGATGTTTATTACTAAATTATGTTTCAATTATTTATATGAAATTTGAAATACACGTAGATATAGATAATAAATTTTAACATAAGATAACTAGACTTTACTCTAGCGTTTAATCCCGTGGATGTGAGCAAATTTCATAATAAGAACAAAGTTGGGAATATTTCTCTCGAAACTTCGCGAGACATAATCATAACCACGACTCTATAAGCTTGTAAGCGCCAACAAATTCCCGGATAAACAAAATGGGAGCGTGTAATCTCTGTCTATAACAATTTTGTGCAAATACAAAGAATAATAAAACTGTAATGTCTTAAAAATTTTCGAAGACAATTAATTCTAATGAAGATAAAAAGAAACGAAAAATATATATATATTCTACTATAACATTAGATTGTGCATTTTGTACAATTAGAGATTTTTATATCATTACAAATTAAATAGATATATATAATTAATAAAATATAAATAATAATATAATTAATAAGGCAAAAAAAAAATAAAAAAAAAGCAAAACAACGCTAGTTCATTCTGGATCAAATTAGAAATATGAGAGTAAACTATTTCGATTAAAAAACGCCCGAAAATAGAATAAATTGGTATGAGTATAGTATCGAGAGTATGTGAAATCATCTAATTTATTTTATTTATTTGAAGCAAACAGACAGCTAGAATAATTATAATTACACACTTAACTAATAATTTGACAGCCATTAAAGTTTGCACAAATTTAATACATAGAGAAGAGAAATACAAAATTAAACATAACTATGGAAAACTACAGCAACATTGTCAATAATAATGCTCAGATGTTAACAAAACCATCCTTTTTTTTTAGAATAACACATTATTTGAGAATAATACCTGTATAACTATACTAAGAGAATACTCGAATGCGGTACTACTAATTATTGATATACATACATACTAAAATTACATATATAAACGAATAAATATATATGAATAACAAATATACTTACACATGTGAAAGTGAGTCGCTAGCTCTTGACTAGTGAAGACACGTTATTGCTGATCTACGTAATTAAATTCGAAAAAATTATCTAAAGTTACTGTTTACATACCGGAGTTGTGTCATAGGTTGAGTAGTGAAACGACCACAAAAAATATAACAAACCAAATAACTTTTTGATCGAAATTTAACAAAATAAGATAAAACATTCCCGTGACTGGTGTACGTTGAATTGGCTGCAGTGATTATTGTTGGTGAGACAATATCAACAAAATTAAAAACTACCCACAGAAAAAAAAAAAAAAAAACAAAAAAAAAGAAACCTGACGCACAGTATACGATCGACAATTTCGTTTACGACCTGTAGAAATTGGTGGCGCAGTGAGGAGAGTTACGACTTGACTTTGAAAGGTGCATGTTTCAAACCTGTCTACTGGCTCTGTCTTTTTGTGGATTGTAAGATTTGTGTATGTTCAGTTCATAGTTCATTTCTGATAGATAAATTATTGGTGTGATATACATATATTTTAGAAATGTCCTCTAAAAATGGGTTGCAATGTGGGGCCTGCCTAAAGGATATAATAGACAAAAATTACATAAAATGTTGCATAGATTCTTGTAAAGTGCCGTTTCACCGTGACTTATGTATAGGACCATCCCCTCCAGATGACGTGCGTAAATGGGTGTGTCAAAAATGTCGTTGCAGTTTGAAAAAAGGAGGCGATAACACAGAGACACCGGTTAAGGCCTCCTCTGCGAGAGTGAATGTTACCATACGTAATAAAAATAAAGCTAGCACGTCCATCGAAAAATCACCAGAACTGGAGAATAGTAGTTTGGGATCTTTAATTGCTGAAATTCGTTTCTTGAGGCAAGATGTATCACAACTCACAGACAAAGTAACTGAAATATTTTCGGCACTCACCCAATGTTGTGAAAGGCTATCCGAAGTAGAAAATCATATGACGCGAACTGATCAACGTTTAAAATTATTAGAGGAGCGTGAGGCTGAAGTGGCATCATTGCAATGTCAGGTACACAGTTGTATATGAGAAGCAAAAGTTGACTTTTGCTTCTCATATACAAGTGCTTTCTAAACGTATACGAAAACTTATACACGTTATGAAGCTTCTGCGTAACGGCGCGAGCAAGAATGTTTTATTACTTGTATACAAAAGCATAGCTCAATCACTGTTGATGTACTGCATCACAGTGTGGGGCGGTGCATCAAAATCATATATGATTGCACTTGAAAGGGCACAAAGATCTGTCTTAAAAGTAATGTTTAGGAAACCAATTCGTTTTCCCACCTATCTTTTGTATCAGGAGGCTGCTGTTCTAACAGTGCGTCAACTTTATATACTTAAAGTAGTAATGATGCACCACAAATCTCCTCTCCTCCCGCAAAAACCTTCGGACCAGAGAAGGCGCAAAATAATCATCCCTCGCATTAATACTGCATTTGCAAAGCGCTTTAGTTATTATTCGTGCCCATTTATATATAAAAAACTTAATAATCTCTGCAAACTGGATGGTCTTAACAATGCGGAGGCTAAACATAGGATACAAGGATATTTACAAAATCTTGATTACGATACCACAGAATTAATATTATATACCATTTATTGATATTCGTATATAGTAGTGTATGTCTTTAGTATATTTAATTGTATGTATTTATTTATGTAATATTAGAGTATTTACATAATTTTCTGTTTTATGCGCATGTCTTCACGAAGCACTTCATTTTAACTTAGCTTAGTATTTTAATTTAATTTATATTTGTAAACCACCGTGTCTTGGTAATCTCATATGGACTCCCGCGATACAGGTCCTCCTAGTGCGGGGTCCAATGTACTCGCTGTTGTAATTTTTTTTGTATTTAATAAATAAATAAATAAATAAATAAATAAAATAAATAAATAACTATTAAAAAAAAAGACTGTCATGGTGAATTCATCTGAGATTCAATACGATAGTTTCTAGAGGGACCCACGGGGAGATCGACTTGACAGGATATATTGCTAGCAATGGGAGTGACAGTTCGCTATTTTTTTTTAGTATGTTTGTTCCGTTGTGGAACAGGCTAAGGTCGGAGACCATGCTGCCTAGTCTTCAATATGATAAATTGTCTGGAATACTATTTTTTTAATGTGAACAATACAGATTAGAGAGAATATGTCAAAAGTCTCAACCAACTATATCATCTATGGTAAACGTCAAAACAATTTAGAAGGCGGCAAATTTAAACATTACAACACTAACAATCCCCTTCCATTATTCTTTTATCGTTCCCTTCTTTTACATAATACATAGTTTCTTCTTTAAAACATGGCTTTTATTCTTTAGCATAACAGTAATATTTGGAGTAAGTAAATAAATTCGATGGTAGATATATTTTGAATGTTTGTTATAAATATTTACCAGGCAACATGGACACATTCAAATGTACACGTGTTATCGAATCAAAGCAAACAGTAGCTACATCGGGAACGTGTACGGGTCCAATTTATTTTTCAATTACGACTATGTACCTTTTTCCCATTAATCAAATGTTTACTGTCCTTTACGTGGGGTGACGGTCTTTTTGTACCCTTTTGTGATATGTATATATATTAGCTATGTCTATATTGATATTTTAATTTAATTGAATTCTAAAAAAACTGACTTCATTTCTGGTAAAACCTGTTAGTTTAATTTAAAAATTAAACTACTGAATTATTTTTTATAAAATTTCCATGAGACCAATTTACACTAATATTGTAAAAAGATAAGATTTGTATTTTTGTGTGTATGTTTGTAATGAATAAACTCAAAAACTACTTTGCCGATTTCAAAAATTCTTTCACCGTTAGAAAGCTACATTCATCCTGAGTAACATAGGCTATATTTATTGCTAGAAAAGATTAGGAATCCTTACTAAAACTTCAGTAATATAACTCAAGGTGTAAAAAAAATGTTAAAAAATATATTCCGTCGCGTGCGCTGCGGAAACTATTGGTGATAGAACAAAAGTATGTTCTACAATATTGAAGAAAATATCAATTACTACAAAAAACTTCGCGATACTATATGCCCAACTATTATCGTTATGTCACAATAACCACTTTTTAAAATGTCGTAAAAGTGTCCACCCGTGCGAAGCCGGGACGGGCCGCTTGTGTGTAATATATTATGTAATAATAAAGAATATATTTTCTTTTAAATAAGAAAGGAATTATCCAAATCGGTTTACAACTGACATAGTTCGTTACGAAATAACAAATACAATAATCGAGTTATTCCTCGGTATTATTAGGTATGAACGTGAAAATCATTATCCCACATTCCTTAGAAGTAAAAAGAGGTGAGCCAGTCCAATCCATAATATTATAATTAAAACGTGCCCATTGTGAACGACGATTCCATTAAACGACCTCTCACCGCATTTGCTCCAATAATTAAAAGCAATCAGCAATGTGCACATTTCAATTGTGTTTTGGTTTGAGTTCAAATTAATGGTGGCCTGTGTTTAACACATGATATAAAAGAGGAGAAATATAATGTTTTCAGTAGAGATAGGTAATAATAAGCAATATTTAAGATGTAAGAATAACTTTATGTCCTAAAATTTATCTATGGTACAATATGCAAGCTATGACCCCACACTAGGCCAAACCTGTCTTGTGGAAATCAAAGCAAGAAATTTAACAGTTATGGTGCAATAAAGACGGTTCATTTAATTATATAGTATTTAATGTAAGTTTGTGTGCATATGTGAGTGCATATTTTAGTTACAATATTTATATACCAGAGGGAGACTTTGTACAAAAGTCGATTGCTTGAGAACCTCTGTCCCATTCGTGTTTCTACCGCGAAGCAGTTGTGTTTTCATGGCTATATTTCGGTTTGAAGGGTGGGATATGGCAGTGAATTCACAGGGTACAGAGGAATAACACCTGAGTCCTCAGGAATGGCAACGCATGGGGGGTACCATGGACGAAACAGTACACTCTGTTATGTCCATGGTACTGCTCATGTCTATAGGCGACGGTTACCATTTTCCATCAGGTGGGCCGTCAGCTTGTTTGCCATTCTAAGTTGTATAAAAAATACTAGTCTTATAACAAATATGTTAAAAATCTGTTATCCAAAGAAATAATATTGGATAACAGACTTAATATAATCGAAAATAAATATCAGGCCATAATGGGCGATATCGAAATGTGTGATTTGACCTTTTTTCCACCATCAATGTTCAGAGGAAACCAATATATAGAAATCGGATCGGTATCCATATTACCCAAGCCTACTTTTCGGTTTTGTACATATCTGTATAGAATGAGTTAAAATAAAAACAGTATCAGAAGTATTGCAGTTTCTTGTGCTTTGATGTTTTTTTTTTATACAACTTAGAATGGCAAACAAGCTGACGGCCCACCAGATGGAAAGTAGTAACCGTCGTCTATAGACATGAGCAGTACCATGGACAAAACAGAGTATACTGTTTCGCCCATAATACCCCCCATGCGTTGCCATTCCTGAGGACTCAGATGTTATTCCTCTGTACCCAGTAAATTCACGCCATATCCCACCCTTCAAACCGAAACACAGCCATGCAAAAACAACTACTTCACGGTTGAAACACGAATGGGACAGAGGTACCCAAGCAATTGACTTTTGTACAAAGTATTTGTAAGTACCTTAATAAACATATAGATTATAAATATTTAGGATTTTCAGAATCATAAGAAATTCGTATCAAATTTTTATTCGACTGTGAACATTTAAAATATAGAATTTGTATGCTTATGCTATCATATCATAAAAAAAACAAAAAATTTATGATTTACAAGATCCTTTAAACAAGTCTATTTGAAAAATTGTTTCAATTCTATTCTAATCAATTTACTAACTACAGTATTGTTCAGATACCTTCTTTTCTAGTTGTTAATTTTTTTCATTAAACATTCACGGTTATTCAGAATAAACTAGCTTAAAAAATAGTATCGAAATCAATGTATTACTATGAGAATTATTCCGACGAAATTCCGATAAAGAAAAAAAATTATAATCCCTCTTTTTGGGTTAGAGATTTTTACAAATAAATGATTGATAGATTGGTTGGTTAGTTGATTGTTTGTTTGATTGATCGTTTGATTGATTGATTGATCGTTTACTTGCTTGATTGATTGATTATGCTAACAATCAAGTTCCCGATATTAAACATACGATTCTTTACCAATTCCAGTGGACGGTGGATTCTCCCGCAAGGCGTGCTGGTGGGATTTCGCGCGTCACTTGGACCGCCTCGACGCGGTCCTCTTCACCAGGCTCAACAACTGCTCAGTGTCAGGCATGGCCGCAGTCCTGCGCAGGAAGGCCTCGGCTAATGTCTACCCGCAGATTGGACATTTCTTCTGTAATCTAGAGGTAATTAATAAGTTTTTACGAGCCCTTATCTGCGAATACTTCGAAATGATCTTTACGTCAGGCATAAAATTGCTCTATCATCAGGCGTTAAACTGGTCAGCGTCAAATATAGACACAATATTGTTTGTATAGAAGGGCCTCTTTTAGTACCTTTATTTCTTTCTTTTGTTTTATTTCTTTATTTTGATTTATATATTTATATCATCATTATATCACCCATTAACTCTCGACTGTTGAACATAAGCTTCCCCCTTGGGGTGTTTTGCCAGTAATTACCACACTTGACAGGCGAATTGGCAACAGCAGTTAGGCTTGGTTTTGTTTGAAGAGTGACGCTGCTGCCCATTTTTTGACCATTAAGTTCCCTTTGTAATATAGATGTACCTAGTTAGTTTTTACTATTTATTTGAGTCTTGCTATTTCAATAATGATTTTTTTCTATCTAGCAAACCAACTGTTCAATATATGGTATGATCAAAGTGTTACGTCTTATTCAAAAACCTATCAACTACTTTAGCAAATTTTAAGGACAATACTGGAATGGTAACTTCCTTTGCGCCACCGCTATCATAACGGGGTCCCAATATAAATGAGGGATAAGTGAGGATGAAGTTAGGTCAGTTGGCCTATCATGACGTAACCAATAGGATAGGGGATGGAAAGGGATTGTTAGTAATGGGGTTTAACTGCCCCATTGCTAGCAATACGCTCTATCAGATCGACCTCCACGTGGTTATCATTGAAAACCATCGTGGTTAATTCTAGTGCAATTCGTCATGATGGGCTAGCTGACCTGCTTTCATCGTCACCTGTCATCCCTCACTGATGTCCCGACAGTGTATAACGCGTATATAGCGTAGGTGCAAAAATCAATATAGTCTCCAGAAAGAACGCATGGAGGTCCATTTCATGGTATATATTGCCAGCAATGAGACCACAATTTCCCATTACTGACGGTTCCTCCCCACGTTTTTACTGTATGAGGTTGGTAGGCGCCATAGCGTCGCGTCACCCAAGGTCTCGTATCAAGTTTGTAACACTACCTGAGAGGTTACACCTGATTGGGCATGCTACTTACTGATTATAATGCAACATCAACCAAGAACATTCATGATATAAAATTAATAAATTTATATAACTAGTTTTTACCCGCGACTTTGTCTGCTTGTACTGACTAGGATAAAAAATAGCCTATATCCTGTTTCATCGCCGTATAGTCTCGGCATAGAATTGACCATCCCTTCATTTCCCACGGGTGTCGTAAGAGGCAACTAAGAGAACTTAATGGTCTAGAAATTGGCAGCAGGTCCCTCTTAAAACATCTCCAAATCCTAACTGCGTTTGCCTACCCACGTGCTTCCTCCTCTGCACTCTCACTCTCCACCTCTTATGAAAGGCTTATGTTTTTTTTTAATGGATGATAATGGAATGGTAACCCCATCCGCGCTATCGGTATACACCGGCGGGGCACCAGAGAAGAATGATAGGTGAGGATGAAGTAGGTCAGTTAGCCCATCATGACGAATTCAACAAGAATTGTTCACGATGGTTTCCAGGAAGAACCACGAGAAGGTCGACCTAATAAGGCATATTGCTAGCAATGGGGCTGTCAAACTCCATTGCTAATAATCCCTTTCGCCCCGAGAGGCTTATGTTCAGCAGTGAACAACTGATATGATGATTATGATCCTCTTTCATCCCATATATAACAAACTTCTTAGTGATTGGTTAAGCTGTTAAGACGCTATAAAGTAATTAACTGACAAACTCACTATCACATTTTAAATTTTAGTAAGGATTAAATTTAAATATATCATCTCGATTTTTAAAATTGGAAAACCCCAAAAGTTGAGTTTTAAAATCGAAAAATTAAGAATAGGTAATTTTGTATTGAAATCACCACTTCGTAGTACTTATAACAGATGGCGTTTTATGTAACATGAAGTTGACCGGGCCATCTAGTTGTTTTACATTTAAATTTATTATTGCTTTTTAAAATGTATTCTTTTTTTTTATTTATAAATTAAATATGAACAAGGATTAACTGTTGAGTTTCTTGCGGGCTCTTCTCAGCAGATAACAACTTTCCGAACCTTGCAGTTGATTTAAAAGAAATGACGATTTAAACATGCTTGTAAACAAGTCAAATTGAATTTTGAATTATATCTATTAGTATTGCTCTCTTTTGTATTATGAATATTGTAACTACTCGAGCGAAAAATATCGGCTTCCACTGATACGGTGGTGTAGTCAAAGTGATTAATCGCATATAGAACGCAAGTCGTGTAACACTGAACTTGATTATTTTTTAGATATATATTAATTATTATAAATAATTAATAGCCTTAAATACTAACATAATATAATAATTATGATACAATATTATAATTTCTAAGAGCTGTGAATTTTGTAATAAATAAATAAAATAATAATAATAAAATAATATTTTGAAAGTGACAGTGATATATTTGTACACAATTATAAGGTATTTTTTTTTTATTATATTGCATATTTAATACTTCATCATCATATCAGCCGTTAAGTGTCCACTGCTGAAATAGGGTTTCCCATAATGACAGGTCTTGCCAGTAATTGCCACGCTTGGCAGGCGGGTTGACAGCCGCATTTAGGCTTGTGATGATGTTTTAAGGAAGACGCTATTACCCTTGATTGATGGAATAAATAAATAAATAAAAAAAATAGACTGTATCCTAAATTAGCACATAATTAATTAACCCTATTAACATTATCAATACAAAAGATTGTAAGGATGGATAGTTGGATATTTGTTACTTCTTCACACAAAAACTACTGAACTAATTTGAATGAAATTTGGTACACGAGTAAAGTGTTTTATGCTACTTAAAATGACAATCTGACAGTCCACTTGATGGACAATGGTAGCCATGTATATTCCATACAGATATCATGATATGATATCCTAGTTACATAATATACAAGCACATAGGACACTTTATGTAATGATTCACGCGGGAAAATCCGCAGGATATAATTAGCTTTACTTTAATTTCATCATCATCATATCAGCTTTTAATTGCTGAACATAAGCCTCCTCCTTGGGGGCTTTTGCCAGTAGTTGCCACGCTTGGCAGGCGGATTGGCAACTGCAATCAGGCTTTAGAGGTATTTAAGAGTGACACTACTTTTACTTAAACCACCAAATGTAGCTTTTTATATTTTGGGTAACATACATAGAAATATGAATATGAATTTACACGGACAAAGCTGCGAGATTTAACTAGTACTATTACCAGAATCACCGTATCTTTAACAAGCTTGTTAAACATAATTTGTTTAATGTTTTCAGGAAAGGCGAGCCGTCACCAGTCCCGATGGGGACAAAGACGCCGATCCCTTGCTAGTGTCGCTGCTGCAGGAGGGCTCCGACATGATGGCTGACCTAAGGCACATCAACCTCAAACCGCAGCACTGCTACCGAAGTCCAGAACCGATCAATCTCTACCATAAAGTTGGACATGGTGGGTATTTTTCTGTTTATATACAAGTAGATCCATACGGTCTTAAAAAAAACGGTAAACTTTCTATAGTTGTATTTATGTATTTAAAACTTGTGTAAACAATTTACTACATACATTTTTTTATATTTATTTATTTAAACTTTAACGCACAGTAAAATTATATGTACATTTGGCGGACTTAACACCGGACGGTGTTCTCTACCAGTCAACCGTTGGGCAAACCGAAAAATATGTAGGCGATGCAAGATTAAATTGAGAAAAAATAAAGAAATACTTGATATATTCATATGAAGATTCTTGTATGTTTATTTATCATAAATTGCTATTTTTTTAAATTTTTTTTTTTTACAATTTTTTTTTAAATCAATGCACCGCCATTTACTCTCTCTGTTTATCGTAACGGTTGTCTGGTAGAGAAGCCATCAGGCATTAAGTCCGCCCTGTACACATATTTTAATGTGTATAAAAGTATAAATAAACAAATAAAATACATAAATATTACTATAACGAACAATTAACTGTATTAGAAGAGCATTAAATAAAACTATGATTTAAACGAAGTAACCAGCAAGATTAAATTTAAAGGGAAAGTGATATTAATTACATAATATCGTAATACAATATTATAATATCCGTTTGTCTGAGCAAAAAAGTCTGTCTTATTAAAAATAAATAGTATAAAATAAAAATTTAAACATTATACTGAGAAATCATTTTAAATTATAAATAATGTATTACATTTTAATAATGATTATAATAGTAAATTCACAGGGTACAGAGGCGTAACACCTGAGTCCTCAGGAATGGCAATGCATGGGGGGTATCATGGGCGAAACAGTATACTCTGTTATGTCCATAGTACTGCTCATGTCTATAGGCGACGGTTACCACTTTACATCAGAATTGCCGTCAAAATTTTTGTTATTCTAAATTAAAAAAAAAAAAATACTTAGAACATTTAAAAAATTCAAATTTAAATTGTCTTTATTGAAATAGACTTATTTACAAGCACTTTCAAATCGTCTTTTTTTATGAATGCGAAGTTCGGAAAATTGTTTTCTGCTGAGAAGAAGCCGCAAGAAACTCAACAGTTACTCTTTTAATCAAATTTTAAATATCAACATAGCGTTTTTCATGTTTATTTAAATGTCTAAAATTAGATAGACATCAATAAGCCCACGCGTGGTCGTTTAACACATTTGTCATTCAAGTAATCGTTTAGCTTGTTCTAGGCTTTGTTCGATAAGTGTTTTTTGAGAACAGTTCTAAATTTTTTAAAATAACCTTCTCCTTAACTGTACATATTTCTGTATGATTAAATATTGTTTAAATAATGTAATACGAGTAATGTTTGACACTAATTTTATGAAATGAAATGAAATGAAATATTTATTTGCTTTAAACAGACATTTGACAAAACTTTTTGGCATCTGTTTAATTGCCTTAAAATTGTAGGCGTGCAAATCTAATTTATTGCTTAAATAAGGATACAAATTTATCTTAGAGATTATTATGATTAAAGAATAATAAAAAAAGAAATAACAATTCTCAAACAATTATCAAGTCAAATCAATAAATGTGTGTAAGTACATATTCAATATCGTCAAATAAAATTAACAATTACATTATTATTATTAATTAAATACAAATTACATTCCATATGTTTGTAGCGATGTAGAGATGTGTGCTTGATGATATTTATATATATAAATTCAGAAGGAGTGAAAGAAAGAAAGACTTAGTACGAGATTGTATAATTAATAATATTTACAGTAAATAAATCCAGATATAATAAGTCGCGATACAAAATATAATTCGGTAAAAATTGCTAAGACAAGGAGATTGTCAAGAACGTCACTATTTATTTTTCTGTAACTATGTAGGTTTGAAAGAGGTTGGTAGCCTACATGTTATATCAATAACAAATTTATGTCAAGTCTTAAATATTTATATTATCAATAATTATGTTAACTATTTTTGGGATGTGTAGGCATAATATTCTCCCATACTGTAAAATAAGAATCTATAGAATTATTTTTAATAAGACGGAATTTCTTTTATTTATTTATAGGATCATCAACGTACGATACAGCGAAACATTTCAATTTCATTACACTAGTGGATTAGATCTAATTGTTCTTACATTTATAGGCGACCACAGCATGCTTTGTGTTTGATAAACATTAAAATGGAATTAAATTATTAAATGTCATTAAATGGTTAAAGATATTGACAATATACATAAATAAAGTAAAATTGCGTTTAAATTATTTTAAATTATAAATAAATATAATGCAATGGCGAGGTACACCAACATTTTTATTTTGCCATGAACACAGAGTGACAATCGTTGTGAATATCAAGTTCAGGCTTGGTTTTTACAATATCGTTATACAGACGCTTGATGCGGACGATAGGTGATTCGCGGTCCAAGTTTTAATCTGCAAGCTGCATTTTTAAATAGATTTCAAGGATGCCGCGGCACTCTTTTCTTTATATATAAGCAGTATGTCTCAATAATATTTATTGAACGCATGTCTATCACAAATATGTTTTTTTTTTTTTTATATGGCTGATATAATTTTTCTAGCATCATTATCAGCCCATCGATAGTTTTTACAATACAAACCAAATAATGACTTTTATAGGCAATTGTTTTATATTTTAAGTTACAATGTTGCAAATTTTGTAAAGTTCTGTATTTTGTTTTAAATAACATATAGCATACGTTGCTCTCTTCTAATGTAGCTTTAATATAGGTGAGAGAATTTTTAAAACCAGTTAAGTCGTTTTTTTTAATTTAAACATTACAAATGAACATAGAAAAAAATCTAATCTTTCCTCTTTATAATATTAGTTAATAAAATAATATTACATTTTTTCTTTTTTTTTTTATACTACTGAGAATGGCAAACAAGCTGACGGCCCGCCTGATGGAAAGTGGTAACCGTCGCCTATAGACGTGAGCAGTGCCATGGACATAACAGAGCATACTCTTTCGCCCATGATACCCCCCATGCGTTACCATTCCTGAGGACTCAGGTGTTATTCCTCTGTACCCAGTAAATTCACGTCATATCCCACCCTTCAAACTGAAACACAGCCATGCAAACACAGCTGCTTCACGGATATAACTTGAATGGGACAGAGGTGCCCAAGCAATCGACTTTTGTACAAAGTCTACCTTTGGTGAACATGAAGCTCTGTATGAAAGAATTTTTAATTCGTTAACCCTTTGACCGGGCATCCCGCGATTTCCGTATGCAGTATCTACTAGTTTAATTTTACACATTCCGCGATTTCGACGTGCTCGCATTTTTTATATTTATTGACGTTGTTATCCCGCTATTTTTGTTTTAGTAGATTGATATCATTTCTCAGAATCTCGCTGGATGCCTAAATACTCGTTCTGCTATTTGCTGTCAAAGCGATGTGTTTTATTGTTGTAAAAAAATAAAATACACGGCCAGAGGATTAAGCAGTTTTCGAATTTATCCATTACTAGCTTTCCTTCTCAGTTTCATGAAATTTTCATTTTCGTAGAGGTCTCAATAGATATTTTTTTCGAAAGTAACATATAACCCATGTAGCTCGCTGATAATGTAGCTTAAGTATTTTTTTAATTTATCCATTACAGTTACAAACAAACAATCAAGTTTGTCCTTTTTATAGTTTAAATCAAATAGATACTTATTTCCTTTGTAATTATTGTTTTTTTCTTTTTATCTTTCAGGGACCCTTGACATGTACGTACTGAATCCGTCCAGGGACTCCAAATATGTTCGTGAATTTTTAAAAAGGTGGCACAATAGTGAACAAAAACTGTTTGAAGGTGCAAGTGTATCAGGACAATTTAACTTTCCAATTCCCAACTTAGTTTCAATATGTGCGCTATTGGTATGGCGTCCGGCGAATCCAGATGATACAATAACAAGAATAATGTTTCCTGGCTCCACACCGCAACACAAAATCTTCGAAGGACTTGAAAAATTAAAACATTTAGAATTTTTACAACATCCAACATGTACGGGGCGGCAAATGGCAGCGGCTGCTCAGTCTGTAAGCACAACTACAACTGTATCCGCAACAAAATTAGCAAAACACACAGTATCTAAAGTTAGTAAAGAAAGAAGTTTAATCACAGAAAAGACGAAAGAAGATAAAAATGTTGAACCGGAACCCCCGCCGCAAAAAGATAATATAATTAGAGATATAACAGATTCTAAAAATATCATAGACAATAAATTACTTAGCGAACTTGTTGAGAACGAAGATAAAAAAATTGAGTCAGTTTTACATGAAGCTATAACTGCAAGAATAGAATCCAAATTAGATGATAAAATTGCTCAGTATGAAAGCACTGTGATAGATGGTTTGCCTAAAAAGAAAGATTTAAGAAAGAAAGAAAAGGTTATAGAGAAAAAAATTAAACGCTCTGATAAGACTGATACTAAAGAAGACATTAAAGACTCTCTAGGTAAGGCTGTTGAAACAAAAAAATTAGATGACATAAAAATAAAAAAGAAATCTGAAAGTCGTATTAAATCAGATATGACAACGTCAATAAGTAAAAGTAAAGTTAGCCATCGTACTACACAAAAGACTCTAGAAAAAAAATCCTTGCCAACTGTAATAGACAAAAAAATTGCAAGCGAAGAAAAGAAATCTCCACCAACTACACCAAAAAAAATTATTGACACAAAACTAACATCGTCTACTATGCAACCAGTTTTAAAAGATAAAGTAAGAAGTAAAACAAGGAAACTAAGCCCAGGCAGCACGCCTGCTAAAAGTGCCAAAGAAGCTAATAATCGCCGTGTTGTAGAATCAAAATATAAACAAGCATCTCCAAAACGAGATTTAATGAGTAAACCGCTGGAAAGAAAAGAAACTAAAGCAAAGCGAGAACCAATATCACGTAGACCAAGGCCGCTTGCTTCTCCGGTTAAAGGATTAAAGACCATGAAAAGTCCTTCAAAGTCTGTTAAGTCAGTAAGAACTGATACTTCCAAATTAAAAGGATTACAAAGGGTAAATTATGAAGATATTTTAAAAGATGCCAAAAAATCAGACGAAGAGACATCTAAATCTCTTGATGATATTAAACAGCAAGAATTGGATGAAAGAGAAGAACAAGAAATTGTGAGAGAAATTGAAGCTGTTTTTAATAGAGATAGTGAAGCTGAAGAGAAAGTAGAATATGTGGGACGATCAGATATCGAAAAAATAACTTGTATGATAGATAATGTTAAAACAGAAACGAACGTCGATGGTGAATTTGAAGAAGAATATTTAATAATAGAAAAAGAAGAAGTAGACCAATATACTGAAGATTCAATCGTTGATCGCGAAAGTAGTCACGAGCAAGAAGAAGAACTTCATAAACTTACCAAAGACAAGGAAGAGTCTGAAAAGGCAAAAGATCATGTACTTTTAAGTGGAAACAAAATTGAAGAGACTAAGGGAAAACTAGAAGATAGCTTGGGTACTGATTTAAAAGCTTTAGATTCTAAAGAACATTCTGTAAGTTTCGAGGAAAAACAAGACATAAGCAGTGAAAAGAAAACATCAGAGAGTAAAAGTGGTATAACAAAACCTAAAGATTCTCTTGAATTAAATATTGTACAAGAATCTCAACCAGACGAAAAAATATCAACTACCGTAGAATCAGGTGCTACAACAGCACCAACGCTGCCTGAAGATGAACGTATTACACTCGATGGTATTAAAGAAGATCAAAAAATTGAGGAAAAACATATTCAAGAAGAAACAAAAGAAGTGGTTCCTCCTCAGACTTTAATGGATATAAAAAAACCTTTGTCAATAGAAAAAATTACTAAAATAGATTCCCAACCCATGCTAGTTAGAGAAATTGTCAAAACACCTGATGAAGTTGCTGATCTTCCTTTACATGAAGAAGTAGACTACAGGACATATGAAGAGAAAAAAACTCCTGTTGAAGAAGACATATTTAAACGTAAACCTGATGTAGGATTTATACATGAGATTAAAGTACCAAAGGATTTGGCCCTTACAGATCATGGTATTGAAGGTAATATAGTAGTAAAAACTGTTCAAGGAGCATCTCACGCTGAACTTGTAACGGTAACGCCTGGATCAGCACCAGAATCTCCTATGTATCATGAACAAGTAAAAATATCTTCCATTTCTGAAAAAGAATTAGAACCTGTTAAAGAATATGACGATACTCAATATAATTATAGCCAGTATACAGAACAATTAAGAGAAACGCATATTACAACTCTTGATTCTCCTATTAAAGATGACGTAATAATTATAGAAGAGGTGTCTAGTATGCCTGAAAAAATTCCGTCTATACCCGAAGATGTTGAAAAGGAAATAGAAGAAGCACAGAAATTAGAACATTTAGAAAAACCTCCACTTAGTCCAAAAGATGTAGAAAAAATTGTAGCTGATGTAGCTGAGGTTTTAAAATCAGATAAAAGCCTAGAAGAAATCATGGCCGAAAAATCTCCTGTAGTACTGAGTAAATCACCAGATAGTTTTGCTAAAACAGAAACTACAATATTAGATGCAATAGAAGCTACAAAATTGTTTTTATCAACTGAAACAGATATAGGGCATGATAAGCATGAAGAAAAATTAGTTAAAGATGTAAAAGAAAAAAGATTAGACTCTACATTAGACCATGAAGTCACAGAAATACATAAAGAAGCATCACCTGTTAGGTCAGTTACTTCAGAAGATATAAGTGATATTTCAGACAAAACAGTTCTAAGTGAAGGTAAACGAGTTAAACGTGATACTAAAGAAGAAAAGACATCGTCTTCAGAATATCATGTTGAAGATATCACAAAGAAACCTGAAGAAGTTAAAGAATATCAAGAATCATCAAAACATTCACCAAAAGAGAGCAACTTAATAAAAGAAAAATTGGAAATCAAGCAAGAAAGTAAACCCATTGTGGATAAGGAGAAAAAAGAAACGTATAACGAAGAAGATAATAAGTTAAATATTGAAATTTCAAATAAAGAAATTTATTCAGAAAAAGGATTAAGCATTACATTGGATTCAGCAAAAACATTAGAAAAATTAGAAGAAAAGTTAACAGATTTGAGGAAAAAAGAACTTTCTCCAAAATTACAAGACGATACAGAGACGAAGTATGTTGTTGCTGAGAAAAGCGATAGAGATAGAAAGTCCAGAAAAGAAAAGTCCTGGTTATATTGAGTCTAAACATTTACCAGTTAAACAATTAGATATGAAAGAACAAACAGATCTTGTAGGTATTGATAAAGATTTATCATTGGATAGATTGGATGCTACTCAAATAGAAAAACTAAAACCAACCGATGTAAAAGCGACAAAAATCTGTACTCAAAAAGAAGAAGAAGCATTGGCACAAGTTATTGAAAAAAATGATATTAAAAGTACAGTGCCAGAAGAAACGGTCCTTATCGATAAAACAATTATTTCGGATCCTGATGCTATTCTCAACAAAGTTCTTTCAGTAGAACCTAGTACAGAGAAAGTGGTACAGATAATTCCTAAATACCAAGATTTGGATGCTACAGACATGGAAGATAAAATAAATAACAGGGAAATCAAAGAAATAAGTGCAAAAGTTTCATCTGTTGACCTTTCGCTTTCAATAAAAGAAGGTAAAAAACAATTTGTTTCTGAAAAAGACAAAGATGAAATGAGCTTACATGATATTCCAGAGACTGGAAGTCTCATTATAGAATCACAAATTATGAAAGAAGTAGTTTCTGACAAACTTGATAAAATGCAAGTCGGTCCAGAAAAAAACGTCATTGATTACATTGTTGACAAAAATCAAATTACGGAAATCGATGGTAAATCCATTAAAGATATAACGAAATCTGAAATAGATACAAATATTGAAAACAAAGTACAAGCAACAAATAAAATAGCAGACTTAGACAAGGAAATTTTACCAGAAAAGCCTGACAATATTGAATTCAAAGATGAAAAATTGTTAATAAAGAAAGAAATAGAAATTAATTTTAATAAGGAAATGGAAAAACTTACGGAAAAAGATAAATCGATAACTAATGACTTAATAAATATATTTGGACTAACTCAATACGAAAGTCCAGAAGAAGTTGTGACTTCAAAAACTGAAAAAGTAAAAGAGGGATCTGTAGTTATAGAACGAACAATAGTAACTAAAATTATTATAACTAAATATGCGAACTCGAAGGGATTAGTGACAAAATTAAAGACCATCACATTAACTAACACTATTGATAGAAATCCTGATGGGAGTTTTAATACCTATACCAATAGTGATTTAAAAATATCAGATACGACTGAGGATGTGCTCAAAGATAAACCTGATAAAGGCATTTTACAAACAATACAGGAGATTGAAGTAAGTTCTGATATTAAAAAGATCACAGAGAAAGAAAATAAACTTACAGAAAATAAAATTTTAGAATTACAAGGGTTTCAGGCATATGGAGAACCAGAAAAAACTACAACTACCAAAACCGAAGAAATTATACGTGAAACTACTTCTATTAAAAGAACAATTGTAACTACCGTTATTAAAACTAAATATTCCGATATAAAAGGCATTGTAAAGAAATTAAAAATACATACCATAATTAGCACAACAGAAGATAGTAAAGACGGAATATCAAATACAGAGCTTAATGAGACTGTAAAAATTGAGGACATTGAAGAATCTGGTCCTAAAGCAGAGAAGAAATTATTACCGTATGAAAAACATGAGGACATTGAACCTAATGCCGAGAAAGAAACATTATCTTCTATTGATGAACTCCATCGTGTAATATCTCCTGAAAAAGAAACCCGAATAGAGAAAGAAGAAAGCTCAATACCAGAAAAACAAATTCACAAAGAGGACGGTCCTAAAAAGGAAGAAATATCTGAGTCTCCTGAAGAAAAGGTTTCGGCTAAATTCACACCTGAAAAGGATGCAGTATCCGTTCCCGAATTTAAGGATTCGAAAGAGGACACTTCAAAAGAAGAAACACTTTCGCAGTTAACACCAACTGATAAAACGTTAGAAATAAAGAAAGATGATTTCTCTATCGCAGAAAAACCATCAGATAAGGAAGCTAGCCCACAAGCTATCATAGAATTGCCACTAGAAAAAGAAGTTGTTTCAAAAGATGAGAAACTGCCATATTCTGAAAGAGACCTTGAAACTAAATCTGCTCTAGCTAAAGAAAAGGTAAGTCCGATTGACCAGCAGATTACAAAAGGAATTCCCTCAGATAAAGAAATAGAACTCGATCAGGTAATATCTCCTGAAAAAGAAACCCGATTAGAGAAAGAAGAAAGCTCAATACCAGAAAAACAAATTGACAAAGAGGACAGTCCTAAAAAGAAAGAAATATCTGAGTCTCCTGTAGAAAAGGTTTCGGCTAAACCCACACCTGAAAAGGACGCAGTATCCGTTCCCGAGCTTAAGGATGCGGAAGAAGACACTTCAAAAGCAGTAACACTTTCGCAGTTAACACCAACTGATAAAACATTACAAATAAAGAAAGATGATTTCTCTATCGCAGAAAAAACATCAGATAAGGAAGCTAGCCCACAAGCTATCATAGAATTGCCTCTAGAAAAAGAAGTTGGTTCAAAAGATGAGAAACTGCCATATTCTGAAAAAGTCCTAGAAACTGAATCTGCTCTAATTAAAGAAAAGGTAAGTCCGATTGACCAGCAGATTACAGAAGGAATTCCTTCAGATAAAAAAATGGAACTCGATCGGGTAATATCTCCTGAAAAAGAAACCCGGTTAGACAAAGAAGAAAGCTCAATACCGGAAAAACAAATAAAAAAAGAGGACGGTCCTAAAAAGGAAGAAATATCTGAGTCTTCTGAAGAAAAGGTTTCGGCTAAATCCACACCTGAAAAGGATGCAATATCCGTTCCCGAATTTAAGGATTCGAAAGAAGACACTTCAAAAGAAGAAACACTTTCGCAGTTAACACCAACTGATAAAACGTTAGAAATAAAGAAAGATGATTTCTCTATCGCAGAAAAACCATCAGATAAGGAAGCGAGCCCACAAGCTATCATAGAATTGCCACTAGAAAAAGAAATTGGTTCCAAAGATGAGAAACTGCCATATTCTGAAAAAGACCTTGAAACTAAATCTGCTCTAGCTAAAGAAAAGGTAAGTCCGATTGACCAGCAGATTACAAAAGGAATTCCCTCAGATAAAAAAATAGAACTCGATCGTGCTATATCTCCTGAAAAAGATACGCGGTCAGACAAAGAAGGAAGTTTATTACCAGAAAAACAAATTGATAAAGAGGATAGTTTTAAAAAGGAAGAAATTTCTAAGTCTCCTGAAGAAAAGATTTCGGCTAAATCCACAACTGAAAAGGATACAGTATCCGTTCCCGAGTTTAAGGATGCGAAAGAGGACACTTCAAAAGAAGTAACACTTTCGCAGTTGACACCAACTGATAAAAAATCAGAAATAGGAAAAGATATTTTTTCTATCACAGAAAAACCATCAGACAAGGAAGCTAGTCCACAAGCTATCATAGAATTGTCACTAGAAAAAGAAGTTGGTTCCAAAGATGAGACACTGCCATATTCTGAAAAAGTCATTGAAGCTGAATCTGCTCTAACTAAAGAAAAGGTAAGTCCAATTGATCAGCAGATTACAAAAGGAATTCTCTCAGATAAAGAAATGGAGCTCGATCGGGTAATATCTCCTGAAAAAGAAACCCGATTAGACAAAGAAGAAAGCTCAATACCAGAAAAACAAATTGACAAAGAAGTCAGTTCTGAAAAGGAAGTAATCTCTGAATCTCCTGAAGAAAAGATTTCGGCTAAATCCACACCTGAAAAAGATGCAATGTCCATTCCTGAGTTTAAGGATGGGAAAGAAGAAACTTCAAAAGCAGTAACAATTTCGCAGTTGATACCAACTGATAAAAAATCAGAAATAGAAAAAGATATTTCCTCTATCGCAGAAAAACCATCGGATAAGGAAGCTAGCCCAAAAGCTATCATAGAATTGCCTCTAGAAAAAGAAGTTGTTTCAAAAGATGAGACACTGCCATATTCTGAACAAGTCCTTGAAATTGAATCTGCTCTAACTAAAGAAAAGGTAAGTCCAATTGATCAGCAGATTACAAAAGGAATTCTCTCAGATAAAGAAATGGAGCTCGATCGGGTAATATCTCCTGAAAAAGAAACCCGATTAGACAAAGAAGAAAGCTCAATACCAGAAAAACAAATTGACAAAGAGATCAGTCCTGAAAAGGAAGTAATCTCTGAGTCTTCTGAAGAAAAGATTTCGGCTAAATCCACACCTGAAAAGGATGCAGTGTCCGTTCCCGAGTTTAAGGATGGGAAAGAAGAAACTTCAAAAGCAGTAACAATTTCGCAGTTGATACCAACTGATAAAAAATCAGAAATAGAAAAAGATATTTCCTCTATCGCAGAAAAACCATCGGATAAGGAAGCTAGCCCAAAAGCTATCATAGAATTGCCTCTAGAAAAAGAAGTTGTTTCAAAAGATGAGACACTGCCATATTCTGAACAAGTCCTTGAAATTGAATCTGCTCTAACTAAAGAAAAGGTAAGTCCAATTGATCAGCAGATTACAAAAGGAATTCCCTCAGATAAAGAAATGGAACTCGATCGGGTAATATCTCCTGAAAAAGAAACCCGATTAGAGAAAGAAGAAAGCTCAATACCAGAAAAACAAATTGACAAAGAAGTCAGTTCTGAAAAGGAAGTAATCTCTGAGTCTCCTGAAGAAAAGGTTTCGACTAAATCCACACCTGAAAAAGATGCAATGTCCATTCCTGAGTTTAAGGATGGGAAAGAAGAAACTTCAAAAGCAGTAACAATTTCGCAGTTGATACCAACTGATAAAAAATCAGAAATAGAAAAAGATATTTCCTCTATCGCAGAAAAACCATCGGATAAGGAAGCTAGCCCAAAAGCTATCATAGAATTGCCTCTAGAAAAAGAAGTTGTTTCAAAAGATGAGACACTGCCATATTCTGAACAAGTCCTTGAAATTGAATCTGCTCTAACTAAAGAAAAGGTAAGTCCAATTGATCAGCAGATTACAAAAGGAATTCCCTCAGATAAAGAAATGGAACTCGATCGGGTAATATCTCCTGAAAAAGAAACCCGATTAGAGAAAGAAGAAAGCTCAATACCAGAAAAACAAATTGACAAAGAAGTCAGTTCTGAAAAGGAAGTAATCTCTGAGTCTCCTGAAGAAAAGGTTTCGACTAAATCCACACCTGAAAAAGATGCAATGTCCATTCCTGAGTTTAAGGATGGGAAAGAAGAAACTTCAAAAGCAGTAACAATTTCGCAGTTGATACCAACTGATAAAAAATCAGAAATAGAAAAAGATATTTCCTCTATCGCAGAAAAACCATCGGATAAGGAAGCTAGCCCAAAAGCTATCATAGAATTGCCTCTAGAAAAAGAAGTTGTTTCAAAAGATGAGACACTGCCATATTCTGAAAAAGTCCTTGAAACTGAATCTGCTCTAACTGAAGAAAAGGTGAGTCCGATTGACCAGCAGATTACAAAAGGAATTCCCTCAGATAAAGAAATGGAACTCGATCGGGTAATATCTCCTGAAAAAGAAACCCGATTAGACAAAGGAGAAAGCTCAGTACCAGAAAAACAAATTGACAAAGAAGTCAGTCCTGAGAAGGAAGAAATATCTGAGTCTCCTGAAGAAAAGATTTCGGCTAAATCCACACCTGAAAAGGATACAGTATCCGTTCCCGAGTTTAAGGATGCAAAAGAGGACACTTCAAAAGAAGTAACACTTTCACAGTTAACACCAACTGATAAAAAATCAGAAGCAGAAAAAGATATTTCTTCTATAACAGAAAAACCATCAGATAAGGAAGCTAGCCCACAAACTGCCTTAGAATTGTCTCTAGAGAAAGAGGTTGTTTCAAAAGATGAGACACTGCCATATTCTGAAAAAGTCCTTGAAACTGAATCTGCTCTAACTAAAGAAAAGGTAAGTCCGATTGACCAGCAGATTACAAAAGGAATTCCCTCAGATAAAGAAATGGAGCTCGATCGGGTAATATCTCCTGAAAAAGAAACCCGATTAGACAAAGGAGAAAGCTCAGTACCAGAAAAACAAATTGACAAAGAAGTCAGTCCTGAGAAGGAAGAAATATCTGAGTCTCCTGAAGAAAAGATTTCGGCTAAATCCACACCTGAAAAGGATGCAGTATCCGTTCCCGAGTTTAAGGATGCAAAAGAGGACACTTCAAAAGAAGTAACACTTTCACAGTTAACACCTACTGATAAAAAATCAGAAGTAGAAAAAGATACTTCTTCTATAACGGAAAAACCATCAGATAAGGAAGCTAGCCCACAAGCTGACTTAGAATTGTCTCTAGAGAAAGAGGTTGTTTCAAAAGATGAGACACTGCCATATCCTGAAAAAGTCCTTGAAACTGAATCTGCTCTAACTAAAGAAAAGGTAAGTCCGATTGACCAGCAGATTACAAAAGGAATTCCCTCAGATAAAGAAATGGAACTCGATCGGGTAATATCTCCTGAAAAAGAAACCCGATTAGACAAAGGAGAAAGCTCAGTACCAGAAAAACAAATTGACAAAGAAGTCAGTCCTGAGAAGGAAGAAATATCTGAGTCTCCTGAAGAAAAGATTTCGGCTAAATCCACACCTGAAAAGGATACAGTATCCGTTCCCGAGTTTAAGGATGCAAAAGAGGACACTTCAAAAGAAGTAACACTTTCACAGTTAACACCAACTGATAAAAAATCAGAAGCAGAAAAAGATATTTCTTCTATAACAGAAAAACCATCAGATAAGGAAGCTAGCCCACAAACTGCCTTAGAATTGTCTCTAGAGAAAGAGGTTGTTTCAAAAGATGAGACACTGCCGTATTCTGAAAAAGTCCTTGAAACTGAATCTGCTCTAACTAAAGAAAAGGTAAGTCCGATTGACCAGCAGATTACAAAAGGAATTCCCTCAGATAAAGAAATGGAGCTCGATCGGGTAATATCTCCTGAAAAAGAAACCCGATTAGACAAAGGAGAAAGCTCAGTACCAGAAAAACAAATTGACAAAGAAGTCAGTCCTGAGAAGGAAGAAATATCTGAGTCTCCTGAAGAAAAGATTTCGGCTAAATCCACACCTGAAAAGGATGCAGTATCCGTTCCCGAGTTTAAGGATGCAAAAGAGGACACTTCAAAAGAAGTAACACTTTCACAGTTAACACCTACTGATAAAAAATCAGAAGTAGAAAAAGATACTTCTTCTATAACGGAAAAACCATCAGATAAGGAAGCTAGCCCACAAGCTGACTTAGAATTGTCTCTAGAGAAAGAGGTTGTTTCAAAAGATGAGACACTGCCATATTCTGAAAAATTCCTTGAAATTGACTCTGCTCTAACTAAAGAAAAGGTAAGTCCGATTGACCAGCAGATTATAGAAGGAATTCCCTCAGATAAAGAAATGGAACTCGATCGGGTAATATCTCCTGAAAAAGAAACCCGATTAGAGAAAGGAGAAAGCTCAATACCAGAAAAACAAATTGACAAAGAAGTCAGTCCTGAGAAGGAAGAAATATCTGAGTCTCCTGAAGAAAAGATTTCGGCTAAATCCACACCTGAAAAAGATGCAGTATCCGTTCCCGAGTTTAAAGATGCAAAAGAGGACACTTCAAAAGAAGTAACACTTTCACAGTTAACACCAACTGATAAAAAATCAGAAGTAGAAAAAGATATTTCTTCTATAACAGAAAAACCATCAGATAAGGAAGCTAGCCCACAAGCTATCATAGAATTGCCTCTAGAAAAAGAAGTTGGTTCAAAAGATGAGAAACTGCCATATTCTGAAAAAGTCCTTGAAACTGAATCTGCTCTAACTAAAGAAAAGGTAAGTCCGATTGACCAGCAGATTACTGAGGGAATTCCCTCAGATAAAGAAATGGAACTCGATCGGGTAATATCTCCTGAAAAAGAAACCCGATTAGACAAAGGAGAAAGCTCAGTACCAGAAAAACAAATTGACAAAGAAGTCAGTCCTGAGAAGGAAGAAATATCTGAGTCTCCTGAAGAAAAGATTTCGGCTAAATCCACACCTGAAAAGGATGCAGTATCCGTTCCCGAGTTTAAGGATGCAAAAGAGGACACTTCAAAAGAAGTAACACTTTCACAGTTAACACCTACTGATAAAAAATCAGAAGTAGAAAAAGATACTTCTTCTATAACGGAAAAACCATCAGATAAGGAAGCTAGCCCACAAGCTGCCTTAGAATTGTCTCTAGAGAAAGAGGTTGTTTCAAAAGATGAGACACTGCCATATTCTGAAAAAGTCCTTGAAACTGAATCTGCTCTAACTAAAGAAAAGGTAAGTCCGATTGACCAGCAGATTACTGAGGGAATTCCCTCAGATAAAGAAATGGAACTCGATCGGGTAATATCTCCTGAAAAAGAAACCCGATTAGAGAAAGGAGAAAGCTCAATACCAGAAAAACAAATTGACAAAGAAGTCAGTCCTGAGAAGGAAGAAATATCTGAGTCTCCTGAAGAAAAGATTTCGGCTAAATCCACACCTGAAAAGGATACAGTATCCGTTCCCGAGTTTAAGGATGCGAAAGAGGACACTTCAAAAGAAGTAACACTTTCGCAGTTGATACCAACTGATAAAAAATCAGAAATAGAAAAAGATATTTCCTCTATCGCAGAAAAACCATCGGATAAGGAAGCTAGCCCAAAAGCTATCATAGAATTGCCTCTAGAAAAAGAAGTTGTTTCAAAAGATGAGACACTGCCATATTCTGAAAAAGTCCTTGAAACTGAATCTGCTCTAACTAAAGAAAAGGTAAGTCCGATTGACCAGCAGATTACAAAAGGAATTCCCTCAGATAAAGACATGGAACTCGATCGGGTAATATCTCCTGAAAAAGAAACCCGATTAGACAAAGAAGAAAGCTCAATACCAGAAAAACAAATTCACAAAGAGGACAGTCCTAAAAAGGAAGTAATATCTGAGTCTCCTGAAGAAAAGGTTTCGGCTAAATCCACACCTGAAAAGGATGCAGTATCCGTTCCCAAATTTAAGGATTTGAAAGAGGACACTTCAAAAGAAGAAACACTTTCGCAGTTAACACCAACTGATAAAACGTTAGAAATAAAGAAAGATGATTTCTCTATCGCAGAAAAACCATCAGATAAGGAAGCTAGCCCACAAGCTATCATAGAATTGCCACTAGAAAAAGAAGTTGTTTCAAAAGATGAGAAACTGCCATATTCTGAAAGAGACCTTGAAACTAAATCTGCTCTAGCTAAAGAAAAGGTAAGTCCAATTGACCAGCAGATTACAAAAGGAATTCCCTCAGATAAAGAAATAGAACTCGATCGGGTAATATCTCCTGAAAAAGAAACCCGATTAGACAAAGAAGAAAGCTCAATACCAGAAAAACAAATTGACAAAGAGGACAGTCTTAAAAAGAAAGAAATATCTGAGTCTCCTGTAGAAAAGGTTTCGGCTAAACCCACACCTGAAAAGGACGCAGTATCCGTTCCCGAGCTTAAGCATGCGGAAGAAGACACTTCAAAAGCAGTAACACTTTCGCAGTTAACACCAACTGATAAAACATTAGAAATAAAGAAAGATGATTTCTCTATCGCAAAAAAAACATCAGATAAGGAAGCTAGCCCACAAGCTATCATAGAATTACCTCTAGAAAAAGAAGTTGGTTCAAAAGAAGAGAAACTGCCATATTCTGAAAAAGTCCTTGAAACTGAATCTGCTCTAACTAAAGAAAAGGTAAGTCCGATTGACCAGCAGATTACTGAGGGAATTCCCTCAGATAAAGAAATGGAACTCGATCGGGTAATATCTCCTGAAAAAGAAACCCGATTAGAGAAAGGAGAAAGCTCTCAATACCAGAAAAACAAATTGACAAAGAAGTCAGTCCTGAGAAGGAAGAAATATCTGAGTCTCCTGAAGAAAAGATTTCGGCTAAATCCACACCTGAAAAGGATACAGTATCTGTTCCCGAGTTTAAGGATGCGAAAGAGGACACTTCAAAAGAAGTAACACTTTCGCAGTTGATACCAACTGATAAAAAATCAGAAATAGAAAAAGATATTTCCTCTATCGCAGAAAAACCATCGGATAAGGAAGCTAGCCCAAAAGCTATCATAGAATTGCCTCTAGAAAAAGAAGTTGTTTCAAAAGATGAGACACTGCTATATTTTGAAAAAGTCCTTGAAACTGAATCTGCTCTAACTAAAGAAAAGGTAAGTCCGATTGACCAGCAGATTACAAAAGAAATTTCCTCAGATAAAGACATGGAACTCGATCGGGTAATATCTCCTGAAAAGGAAACCCGATTAGACAAAGAAGAAAGCTCAATACCAGAAAAACAAATTGACAAAGAGGTCAGTCCTGAAAAGGAAGTAATCTCTGAGTCTCCTGAAGAAAAGGTTTCGACTAAATCCACACCTGAAAAGGATACAGTATCCGTTCCCGAGTTTAAGGATGCGAAAGAGGACGCATCAAAAGAAGTAACACTTTCACAGTTAACACCAACTGATAAAAAATCAGAAGTAGAAAAAGATACTTTTTCTATAACGGAAAAACCATCAAATAAGGAAGCTAGCCCACAAGCTGCCTTAGAATTGTCTCTAGAGAAAGAGGTTGTTTCAAAAGATGAGACACTTTCACATTCTGAAAAAGTCCTTGAAACTGAATCTGCTCTAACTAAAGAAAAGGTAAGTCCGATTGACCAGCAGATTACAAAAGGAATTCCCTCAGATAAAGAAATGGAACTCGATCGGGTAATATCTCCTGAAAAAGAAACCCGATTAGACAAAGGAGAAAGCTCAGTACCAGAAAAACAAATTGACAAAGAAGTCAGTCCTGAGAAGGAAGAAATATCTGAGTCTCCTGAAGAAAAGATTTCGGCTAAATCCACACCTGAAAAGGATGCAGTATCCGTTCCCGAGTTTAAGGATGCAAAAGAGGACACTTCAAAAGAAGTAACACTTACGCAGTTAACACCAACTGATAAAAAATCAGAAGTAGAAAAAGATACTTCCTCTATAACAGAAAAACCATCCGATAAGGAAGCTAGCCCACAAGCTGCCCAAGCTGCCTTAGTATTGTCTTTAGAGAAAGAGGTTGTTTCAAAAGATGAGACACTGCAGTATTCTGAAAAAGTCTTTGAAACTGAATCTGCTCTAAATAAAGAAAAGGTAAGTCCGACTGGCCAGCAGATTACAAAAGGAATTCCCTCAGATAAAGAAATGGAACTCGATCGGGTAATATCTCCTGAAAAAGAAACCCGATTAGACAAAGAAGAAAGCTCAATACCAGAAAAACAAATTGACAAAGAGGTCAGTCCTGAGAAGGAAAAAATATCTGAGTCTCCTGAAGAAAAGGTTTCGACTAAATCCACACCTGAAAAGGATACAGTATCCGTTCCCGAGTTTAAGGATGCGAAAGAGGACGCATCAAAAGAAGTAACACTTTCACAGTTAACACCAACTGATAAAAAATCAGAAGTAGAAAAAGATACTTTTTCTATAACGGAAAAACCATCAAATAAGGAAGCTAGCCCACAAGCTGCCTTAGAATTGTCTCTAGAGAAAGAGGTTGTTTCAAAAGATGAGACACTTTCACATTCTGAAAAAGTCCTTGAAACTGAATCTGCTCTAACTAAAGAAAAGGTAAGTCCGATTGACCAGCAGATTACAAAAGGAATTCCCTCAGATAAAGAAATGGAACTCGATCGGGTAATATCTCCTGAAAAAGAAACCCGATTAGAGAAAGAAGAAAGCTCAGTACCAGAAAAACAAATTAACAAAGAAGTCAGTCCTGAGAAGGAAGAAATATCTGAGTCTCCTGAAGAAAAGATTTCGGCTAAATCCACACCTGAAAAGGATGCAGTATCCGTTCCCGAGTTTAAGGATGCGAAAGAGGATACATCAAAAGAAGTAACACTTACGCAGTTAACACCAACTGATAAAAAATCAGAAGTAGAAAAAGATACTTCCTCTATAACAGAAAAACCATCCGATAAGGAAGCTAGCCCACAAGCTGCCCAAGCTGCCTTAGTATTGTCTTTAGAGAAAGAGGTTGTTTCAAAAGATGAGACACTGCAGTATTCTGAAAAAGTCTTTGAAACTGAATCTGCTCTAAATAAAGAAAAGGTAAGTCCGACTGGCCAGCAGATTACAAAAGGAATTCCCTCAGATAAAGAAATGGAACTCGATCGGGTAATATCTCCTGAAAAAGAAACCCGATTAGACAAAGAAGAAAGCTCAATACCAGAAAAACAAATTGACAAAGAGGTCAGTCCTGAGAAGGAAAAAATATCTGAGTCTCCTGAAGAAAAGGTTTCGACTAAATCCACACCTGAAAAGGATACAGTATCCGTTCCCGAGTTTAAGGATGTGAAAGAGGATACTTCAAAAGTAGTAACACTTTCGCAGTTGACACCAACTGATAAAAAATCAGAAATAGGTAAAGATATTTCCTCTATCATAGAAAAGCCATCAGACAAGGAAGCAAGCCTACAAGCTGCTGTAGAATTACCTCTAGAGAAGGAGGCTAGTTTAAAAGATAAGACACTGCCATCTTCTGAAAAAGTCCTTGAAACTGAATCTGCTCTAACTAAAGAAAAGGTAAGTCCGACTGACCAGCAAATTGCAAAAGGAATTCTCTCAGATAAAGAAATAGAACTCGATCAGGTAATACTCCTGAAAAAGAAACCCGATTAGAGAAAGAAGAAAGCTCAATAACAGAAAAACAAATTGACAAAGAGGTCAGTCCTGAGAAGGAAAAAATATCTGAGTCTCCTGAAGAAAAGGTTTCGACTAAATCCACACCTGAAAAGGATGCAGTATCCGTTCCCGAGTTTAAGGATGCGAAAGAGGACACTTCAAAAGAAGTAACACTTTCACAGTTAACACCAACTGATAAAAAGTCAGAAGTAGAAAAATATACTTCTTCTATAATAGAAAAACCATCAAATAAGGAAGCTAGCCCACAAACTGCCTTAGAATTGTCTCTAGAGAAAGAGGTTGTTTCAAAAGATGAGACACTGCCATATTCTGAAAAAGTCCTTGAAACTGAATCTGCTCTAACTAAAGAAAAGGTAAGTCCGATTGACCAGCAGATTACAAAAGGAATTCCCTCAGATAAAGAAATGGAACTCGATCGGGTAATATCTCCTGAAAAAGAAACCCGATTAGACAAAGAAGAAAGCTCAATACCAGAAAAACAAATTGACAAAGAGGTCAGTCCTGAGAAGGAAAAAATATCTGAGTCTCCTGAAGAAAAGGTTTCGACTAAATCCACACCTGAAAAGGATACAGTATCCGTTCCCGAGTTTAAGGATGTGAAAAAGGATACTTCAAAAGTAGTAACACTTTCGCAGTTGACACCAACTGATAAAAAATCAGAAATAGGTAAAGATATTTCCTCTATCATAGAAAAGCCATCAGACAAGGAAGCAAGCCTACAAGCTGCTGTAGAATTACCTCTAGAGAAGGAGGCTAGTTTAAAGATAAGACACTGCCATCTTCTGAAAAAGTCCTTGAAACTGAATCTGCTCTAACTAAAGAAAAGGTAAGTCCGACTGACCAGCAAATTGCAAAAGGAATTCTCTCAGATAAAGAAATAGAACTCGATCAGGTAATACCTCCTGAAAAAGAAACCCGATTAGAGAAAGAAGAAAGCTCAATAACAGAAAAACAAATTGACAAAGAGGTCAGTCCTGAGAAGGAAAAAATATCTGAGTCTTCTGAAGAAAAGATTTCGACTAAATCCACACCTGAAAAGGATACAGTATCCGTTCCCGAGTTTAAGGATGCGAAAGAGGACACTTCAAAAGAAGTAACACTTTCGCAGTTAACACCAACTGATAAAACATTAGAAATAAAGAAAGATGATTTCTCTATCGCAAAAAAAACATCAGATAAGGAAGCTAGCCCACAAGCTATCATAGAATTACCTCTAGAAAAAGAAGTTGGTTCAAAAGAAGAGAAACTGCCATATTCTGAAAAAGTCCTTGAAACTGAATCTGCTCTAACTAAAGAAAAGGTAAGTCCGATTGACCAGCAGATTACAAAAGGAATTCCCTCAGATAAAGAAATGGAACTCGATCGGGTAATATCTCCTGAAAAAGAAACCCGATTAGACAAAGAAGAAAGCTCAATACCAGAAAAACAAATTGACAAAGAGGTCAGTCCTGAGAAGGAAGAAATATCTGAGTCTCCTGAAGAAAAGGTTTCGACTAAATCCACACCTGAAAAGGATGCAGTATCCGTTCCCGAGTTTAAGGATGCGAAAGAGGACACTTCGAAAGAAGTAACTCTTTCGCAGTTAACACCAACTGATAAAAAGTCAGAAGTAGAAAAAGATACTTCTTCTATAACAGAAAAACCATCAGATAAGGAAGCTAGCCCACAAACTGCCTTAGAATTGTCTCTAGAGAAAGAGGTTGTTTCAAAAGATGAGACACTGCCGTATTCTGAAAAAGTCCTTGAAACTGAATCTGCTCTAACTAAAGAAAAGGTAAGTCCGATTGACCAGCAAATTTCAAAAGGAATTCCCTCAGATAAAGAAATAGAACTCGATCGTGTAATATCTCCTGAAAAAGAAATCCTGTCAAACAAAGAAGATATTTTAATACCAGAAGAACAACTTCAAAACAAAGAGGATACTCTTAAAATAGAAACTAGATTGAGTGAAGGCTTACGTCCTAAAAAGGAAGAAATACCTGAATCTCCTGAAGAAAAAGTTGTTGCTAAATCCACACCTGAAAAAGAATCTGTGTCTGTACATGAGGTTATAAAGGATGATTCGTCAAAAGTAGTAACAATTGAACAATTAATAGACACTGATAAAAAGCCAGAAATAGGTACAGATGTTTTTACTATTACTGAAACACCATCGGACAAAAAAGGTAGCCCACTAATTATAACAGAATTACCTATTACAATTAAAAAGGATGGCGAATCGGAAGATAAGCCACTGCCATCTCCTGGAAAAGGACTTGAAACTAAATCCAGTATAGCAAAAGAAAAGACATCTTCGGCTGAGCAACAGATTTCAAAAGAAATTATCTCAGAGAATGAAACAGCACACGATCATGTAGCATCTCCTGAAAAGGAGTCCTTATCAGACAAAGAAGCATTTTCATCACTAGAAAAATTAATTGATAAAGAGGTTAGTCCTAAAACAGAAACCAAATTGGATGAAAAATTGTCAATTAAAGAAGAACTTAGTCCCAAAAAAGAAGAAATACCTGAGTCCACTGATGATAAAGTTTTAACCAAGTCTACACCTGAAAAAGAAGCTCTGTCTATATCTGAACAAGAAGTTGTAAAAGAGGAACCTTCTAAAGATATAACACCTGCACCATTAATAGCCACTGATAAAAAGCCACAAATAGGTGCAGAGTTTTCCTCTCCCACAGAAAAACCAACGGATAAAGTTAGCCCACTAGTTACAATAGAATTGTCTATTAAACAGGATGTCGTATCGAAAGATAAGATTCTGCCACCCCCTGAAAAAGTCCTTGAATTGAAATCCAGTCCACCAAAAGAAAAGATAACTCCGACTGAACAACAAATTTCAGAAGAAATTCCCTCAGAGAAAGGAACAGCACACGATCGCGTAGCATCTACTGAAAAAGAAATTCTATCGGATAAAGCAGAAATTTCATCACCAGAAAAACAAATTGACAAAGAGGATATTCCTAAAATAGAAACTAAATTTGATGAGAAATTATCAGTCCAAAAAGAACTTAGTCCTAAAAAGGAAGAAATGCCTAAGTCCACCGAGGATAAAGTTTTAACCAAATCCAGACCTGAAAAAGAAGCTGTATCTATATCTGAATTCGAAGTTATAAAGGAGGTTCCTTCAAAATATATGACACCTACTCAATTAATAGCCATTGATGAAAAGCTAGAAAGAGATAAAGACGTTTCATCTGTAACAGAAACACCTACAGATAAAAAAATTAGCCCGTTGCTTTCAACAGAATTGCCTATTAAAAAGGATGGCGAATCAGAAGATGAGATACTGCCATCCCCTGAAATAGTAGTTGAAATGAAATCCAGTCCATCAAAAGAAAAGATAACTCCGCCTAAACAACAATTTTCAGAAGAAATTCTCTCAGAGAAAGAAACAGTACACGGTATCGTAGCATCTACTAAAAGAGAGTCCCTATCGGACAAAGCAGAAATTTCATCACCAGATAAACAAATTGACAAAAAGGATAGTCCTAAAATAGAAACCAAATTGGATGAGAAATTGTCAGTCCAAAAAGAACTTAGTTCTAAAAAGGAAGAAATACCTAAGTCTACCGAGGATAAAGTTTCAACCAAATCCACACCTGAAAAAGAAGCTGTGTCTATATCTGAACATGAAATTATAAAAGAGGTTCCTTCGAAAGATATGACACCTGCTCAATTAATAGACACTGATGAAAAGCTAGAAAGCGATACAGACATTTCATCTATCACAGAAAAACCTACAGATAAAGAAGTTAGCCCATTACTTACAACAGAATTGTCTAAAAAGGATGACAAATCGAAAGATCAGATTATGGCACCCCCTGAAAAATTACTTGAAATTAAATCCAGTCCACCAGAAGAAAAGATAATTCCGACTGAACAACAAATTTCAGAAAAAATATTCTTAAACAAAGAAACTGCACACGATCACGTACCATCTCCTGAAAAAGAATCCCAATCAGACAAAGACAAAATTTTATCACCAGAAAAACAAATTGATAAAGAGGGTAGTCCTAAAACAGAAACGAAATCGGTTGAGAAATTATCAGTCCAAAAAGAACTTAGTCCTAAAAAGGAAGAAATACCTAAGTCTCCTGAAGACAAAGGTACAGCTAAACCCATACCTGAAACAGAAAATACGTGTACATTGGAACATGAAGTTGTAAAAGAAGATCCTTCAAAAGATATAACGTCTGGTCAATTAAGAGACATTGACAAAATGTTAAAAATAGATACAGGTGTTTCCTCTCCCACAGAAAAACCAACAGATAAAGAAGTTAGTCCACTAGTTATAACAGAATTACCTATTAAAAAGGATGGCGAATCAGAAGATGACATATTGCCATCCCCTGAAAAAGTACTTGAAATGAAATTCAGTTCATCGAAAGAAAAGACATCTCCAACTAAACAACAGACTTCAAAAGAAATTCTCTCAGAAAAAGAAACAGCACACGACCACGTAGCATCTCCTGAAAAAGATCCCCAATCAGACCAAGCAGAAATTTCATCACCAGAAAAACAAATTGACAAAGAGGATAGTCCTAAAATAGAAACCAAATTGGATGAGAAATTGTCAATCCCAAAAGAACTTAGTCCTGAAAAGGAAGAAATACCTAAGTCCACCGAGGATAAAGTTTTAACCAAATCTATGCCTGAAAAAGAAGCTGTGTCTATACCTGAATCCGAAATTATAAAGGAGGTGCCTTCAAAAGATATGACACCTACTCAATTAATAGCTACTGATGAAAAGCTAGATAAAGACGTTTCATCTATAACAAAAACAACAAAATTACCTATTAAAAGGGATGGCGAATCAGAAGATAAGATACTGCTATCCCCTGAAATAGTAGTTGAAATGAAATCTAGTCCATCAAAAGAAAGGATAACTCCGCCTAAACAACAAATTTCAGAAGAAATTCTCTCAGAGAAAGAAACAGTACACGATATGGTAGCATGTCCTGAAAAAGATACCCAATCAGGCAAAGAAGTAATTTTATCACCAGAAAAACAAATTGACAAAGAAGAAAGTCCTAAAATAGAAACCAAATTGGATGAGAAATTGTCGGTTCAAAAAGAACTTAGTTCTAAAAAGGAAGAAATACCTAAGTCACCTAAAGACAAAGATTTGGCTAAACCTATATTTGAAAAAGAAAGTGTGTGTACATTTGAACGTGAAGTTGTAAAAGGGGAACCTTTAAAAGATAAAACGTCTGGTCAATTAAGAGATATTGACAAAATACCAGAAATAGGTACAGGTGTTTCCTCTCCTACAGAAAAACCAACAGATAAAGAAGTTACACCACTAGTTATAACAGAACTACCTATTAAAAAGGATGGCGAATCGGAAGATGAGACACTGCCATCCCCTGAAATAATACTTGAAATGAAATCCAGTCCATCAAAAGAAAAGATAACTCCGACTGAACAACAGATTTCAAAAAAAATTCCCTCAGAGAAAGAAACAGCACACGATCACGTAGTATCTCCTGAAAAAGATTCCCAATCAGACAAAGCAGGAATTTCATTCCCAGAAAAACAAATTGACGAAGAGGATAGTCCTAAAACAGAATTTTGTAAATTGGATGAGAAATTTTCAGTCCAAAAAGAACTTAGTCCTAAAAAAGAAGAAATACATGAGTCCACTGAGGATAAAGTTTTAACCAAGTCTACACCTGAAAAAGAAGCTCTGTCTATATCTGAACATGAAGTTGCAAAAGAGGAACCTTCTAAAGATATAACACCTGCACCATTAATAGCCACTGACAAAAAAACAGAAATGGGTACAGATGTTTCCTCTCCCACAGAAAAACCAACAGGTAAAGGGGTTACTCCACTAGTTACAACAGAATTAACTATTAAAAAGGATGGCGAATCAGAAGAAAAGATACTGCCTTCTCCTGGAAAAGCACTTCTAACTAAATCCAGTCCAATAATAGAAAAAACATCTCCGACTGAACAACAGATTTCAAAAGAAATTCCCTTAGAAAAAGAAACAGCACATGATCACGTAGCATCTCCTGAAAAGGAGTCCCAATCAGACAAAACAGAAATTTCATCACCAGAAAAACGAACTGACAAAGAGGATATTCCTAAAATAGAAACAAAATTGGATGAGAAATTGTCAGTCCAAATAGAACTTAGTCCTAAAAAAGAAGAAATACCTGAGTTCACTGAGGATAAAGTTTTAACCAAGTCTACACCTGAAAAAGAAGCTCTGTCTATATCTGAACATGAAGTTGTAAAAGAGGAACTTTCTAAAGATATAACACCTGCCCCATTAATAGCCACTGACAAAAAAACAGAAATGGGTACAGATGTTTCCTCTCCCACAGAAAAACCAACAGGTAAAGGGGTTACTCCACTAGTTACAACAGAATTAACTATTAAAAAGGATGGCGAATCAGAAGAAAAGATACTGCCTTCTCCTGGAAAAGCACTTCTAACTAAATCCAGTCCAACAATAGAAAAAACATCTCCGACTGAACAACAGATTTCAAAAGAAATTCCCTTAGAAAAAGAAACAGCACATGATCACGTAGCATCTCCTGAAAAGGAGTCCCAATCAGACAAAACAGAAATTTCATCACCAGAAAAACAAACTGACAAAGAGGATATTCCTAAAATAGAAACAAAATTTGATGAGAAATTATCAGTCCAAAAAGAATATAGTCCTAAAAAGGAAGATATACCCAAGTCTTCTGAAGATGAAGGTTTAACTAAATCTATGTCTGAAAAAGAAACTGTGTCTATATCTGAACATGATGTTATAAAAGATAATAGTACAAAGGGAGTCACACTTCCACCATTAAAAGATATAGATGTAGTGTCAAAAATAGATAAGGATATTTTCTCTATATCAGAACAATCAGTAGCAAAGAAAACAACTTCACAAATGGAAACAGATTCAATACCAGAACTGTCTTCCAAGGAGGAACATAGAATAGAAAGTAAGACATTCTTATCTTCTGAAAAAGAACTGGAAATAAAAACTAGTTTGTTAAAGGAAACGGTATCATCTCTTGAGCAAGAAATTTCAGAATTAATTCATCCAGAGAAAGAAATGAAGCATGATATTGTAATATCTCCTAAAACAGAATCAAGTTTAGAAAAAGAAGATAGTTCTAAATCTAAACAAAAACTTGACATAGAGATTAGTCCTAGAATGGAAACTACATTAGTTGATGCATTGTCTATTAAACAAGAAATTAGTTCTAAAAAGGAAGAAATGCCTGTATCTTCTGCAAAACAGATCTTGACATCCACATTTGAAAATGAGTCTTTTCTTAAACATGACCATGAGATTATAAAAGAGGATTCTTCAAAAGAACTTGCATATGACGAAATAAAATCTATAGATGAAAAGGCAGAAATAGATAAAGGTGTTTCCTCCGTTTTAGAAGAACAATCACAAAGGAAAGCTAGTACATATACAGAAATAGAATCTGTACTAGAATTCTCTCCCGAAAAGGAAACTATTTCAAAACGAGATGATAGTCCGACTTTTGCAAAACGAAATGAAATGAAACCTGTTCCAAAAAAAGAAACAACACATTTACAACTATCACCTCGTGCAGACGAATTGAGTCCTAATGAAGACGACAAATCCGCTTCCGAATCAAAGCTTGAAACAGAAGTTAGCCCTGGGGTAGAAACAGAATTCGTCTCCACATTGTCTTCCAAAATTAGATCTAGTACTGATACTAATGAATTCACTATATCTACCGAAAAAGAGCGTATGATAAAATCTTCTCCCGAAAAAGAAACGGTTAGTTTAGATACAAATATTAAAACAGTATCTTTGAAATCTGAAGAAAAAGAATTAGGTATAAACAAAGTAGATTTTGCACCTGAACAAAAGTTGGAAAAAGTGACTAGTCCGAAAACAAAAATCAGTTCTCTAATTGAACTATCTCCCAAAAAAGGATTTAGTACTGAAGAAGACAAACTAGTAGTTTGTGATAAAGACACTGAAAGTGGATCTAGTTCGGAAAAGGAAACGATAGCTTCTATTGAGCTAAAAACTAAAGAAGAAATTACTACCAAAAAAGAATCAAGTTTTGCTTCTTTCCCCCCTACAAATAAACATACTGTGGAAAGAAAAGACAGTCCAGACATGCAAACATCTAAAGATGACCAAAATCGTGTAATATTAAGTGGAGATTCAGAGGAAAGAATGTCTTCTATTTTAACTATCGATAGTGGTATTAGCGTTGCACGAGATAGTTTGACCCAGACGTTAGTACATGGTAGTAGTTCTGAAGATATTTCAAGAGAAATGAGCTTAGAAGAAAAATACAATTATGAAAGTACTGAAAAAGTAGATAAAAAACCTATTACGAAAGACTTGAAGGAAGAAAAGCCTCATGTGCCTTTTGATAATTTTAGCAGTTGCCTTGATTCTATGACTAATATAAGTAGTCAAGAAAGAAATGGATATGAAAGCGAATGTAGTAGAGGCGATCTCTCTATTCATTCAACAAATACAGTAGATGTATCTAAATTTTCGACAAATGATAAACATAAAAATATAGTGTCATCCAAAGAAGTATTATTATCTGAACCACTAGATTCTGTTTATTTAGATACTGAGCAAATAGTTCCTGTTTCAGATGAATGCTCTTCTAGCCCAAAGGCCAAAGATAGTGCAGTCAGGCTATTAGAATCAATACACAAAGCATTTAATGAAGAACCGGTTCAACAAGGCATTACAACTGAAAATCTAGAAGCAATAGGCGCACGATCAGAATTTGATAGAGTTTCAACACCACCGACAGTTCCTGTTAGTCCCTTACCAAAAACACCTGGGAGCTTTCAGGATGTAAAAATAAGTGAAGGAGTACAAAGTGAAGTAACATATGATAAATCAGACGGATGTGAAGAAACTATTACTAAAGTCGTACATGTCGGAGAAGATGTATTAACACAAAAAATTTCAACATCTACAGAAAAAGTAACTAAACCTATTAAAACAATGACTGATATTAATGGTGACCAGGATTTAATAGGTCTTATGCAGACAATGGGGAAAATAAAAACCGAAACGGACACTATAACAAAAATAATTAAAGAAGGTGAAAATGTAGTTACTCAAACTATAACAACAGTTACAACAAAAGAAGTAATATCAAGGGATGATGGCACACCACAAAATATTAAGACAACCATTGAAACTACTACTTTAAGTAAAGGTCCAGATGGTTCTACTACTACCACTAAAGATACTCAAACCTTGTTATCAGAATGCTCTTCTAGTCTGCGATCTACCTCACAAATGGATTTATATAGCAAGGATACTAGATTAGATAAAGACGTTTTTGAATCAAGTGAAACAAAATCAGATACTCAAGTTAGTGATGCCACTGATAAAACAAATGATCAAGAGTCTACCATTGATACTCACAGCAAAATTGCATATGTAACAGAAATGGATGAATCAGACGTAGAGGATGCAATAATAGATACAGATGTTAGTAAGAGAATAATTAAAGAAAATAATATTGATATAATAGAAACTGTAACTACCATAACAAAAAAAGAAACATTGAACGTAAGTGACGATAAAAAAATTATAAGAACTACTATCGAAACAAATACTGTTAAAGAATATCCGGATGGTTCTAAAGATGTTCAAAAGAATGTTGAAGTCAAAACCGAAGAATTAACAGTTGACTACAGTAGTAATCTTGAAAATATATTAAGTAATTTCACAGTCTATGGTGAACCAGAAGAAATTGTCACGACAAAAACGGAAGATATTTTACAAGAAAATATTTTAATTAAACGAACTATTTTAACTAAAATTGTGAAAACTAAGTATGCTGACGCAAACCAAAGACCTACGAAAATCAAAATAGTTACTACTATAACCACCACCGATAATTATCCAGATGGTTCATCTAGTACTAAAGTTGATACTAGTACTTCACTAATGGATATTGATGTAGAAAACGAGAAAGAAACATCGGAACTAATAGACTTTACAGAAATTGAAGATAAATCAACGAAAGTAGATAAATATGAGAAAAATATTTTTATCGATGGTAAAAGTGTATTGCAAATTATAACAATAACAACGATAAAAGAAATATTGACAACTAAAGATCGAAAAAAGAAGAAAATAAAGACTACCGTAGAAACACTTACAGAAACATTTAGGCCTGATGGATTAACTGAAGTCACAAAAGACGTCAAAGTAACCATCTCTGACTACGAAGTGGATGTAACGGAGGAACATTTAGAAGGTTTTGTAGAAATAGGTGATCCGGAACAAACTACTACTACAAAAACAGAAGAAATATCAGAAAATGATACTCAAATAAAAAGAAAGATTACAATCACAACAACAAAAAATAAATTTCATAATTCTCCTAATAAAATTAATAGAACTAAAACAACCGTTAAAACGATTATTGAAGATGAATATCCTGATGGTTCTATTATTATAAAAACTAGTGAAAAAATATCATTTTGTGATGAAACACTTACATCATTAGATATTGATATGTTACCTTCTGATAAAATCGATCATCATGATGCAAAATCTATCGAATATAATACAGAAACAGATCAACATTCAGATAATACATTGCGCACTGCGAGGAAATCAAGTACGACAATAAGCGATATAGAAACAGTTGATTACAAAGAAGTGATTGAAATACCTGAAACACAATCTTGTGAAGAAATTACAGACAATAGCAAAATCGAATCGCTACTTAAAGAGCTTCTTCCAGAAGATAAATCAGAAGAAAATGAAACTAGTACAACAGAAGAAATTATACAAGATGATGTAAAAATTTTAAGAACAATTGTTACTAGAATAGTAAAAACAAAATACTCAGATCTTCATGGTGTCTTACGAAAGCAAAAAACAGTTACTACTGTTACAACTACCGATAGATATCCAGATGGATCATCACGCACAATGGTTGATACTAGTACATCAGTAAGTGATATTGAAACGTCTGATTTTGTACAAACTCAAGATTTGAGAGAATTTCCAAATTTAGAAGATAAAACTGTAAATGTCGATACTCAAGAGAAAATTATACCTAAATATGGTAAACAGGTAAAACAAATTGTCACTACTACGACTACTAAAGAAATATTTTCATCTGTTGATCGATCTAAGAAAAAAATGAAAACAACAATAGAAACGATAACGGAAACAATGCTTCCCGAAGGGGTAACTGAAGTAACAAAAGATGTTAAAGTTTCTGTAGCTGATTATGGAATAGAAACATTTGATGAAAATTTAGAAGGGTATAGTGAAATTGGTCTACCAGATGTACAAACAATTTCAGAAACAGATAAAATTGTAGAAAATGGCATCACAATAACAAGAAAAACTACTATCACTACTATTAAACAACAATTTGAGAATAAGTCTATTAAGTGCAAAAAAATTAAAACTACTGTGAAAACAGTGATTGAAGATGAGCATCCAGATGGAACTGTTATTACAAAAAAGAGCGAAAAAGTATCTATTGCAGATGTTTTTCTAAAATTGCCTATACAAGATGAAGATATTCCTCCAGAGTCATATATTGATGATTCAGAAATTGTAGAGGATACAACAGAAGAATCCGATGTTAAAAATGAAACCATTCAACAAGGTTCAATGACGATAAAACGGACAATTACAACAAAAACAAAAAAAGAAACGTTAGCAAGTACGGATAAAAATATAAGACGAGTAAGAACAACCGTTGAAACAATTACAGTTGATGAATTTCCAGATGGTTCTACTGAAACTACAAAAGATGTAAAAATCACGATATCAGAATTCCAAAAAACATCTGATAGTGATTTACAGGCTGCTCTACAAGGATTACAATCAACAGGCAAAGTTAAAACATCTGTAGATAAAAAAACCAACACGATTGAAATCAATGGCGATAAAATAACACAGACTATTACTACATATGTTACTAAAGAAGAGCTAAAAAATAATGAATCGAATGAAATAGCTGTAAAAACTGTCACAGAAACCGTAACTGAAAATGCAAAAGATGATGGTTCCATTGAAATCACTAAAGATGTACGTACTCAAATTACATATTTGCCGATTGGTACTGGATTAGATGACTGGACACCAGAAGAATTAGAACAGATAGAAAAGCAACTTACAAAAGATGAAAAACTTACTCCTGAAGAACTATCACTACAGAAAAAACAAGCTAAATCTGAAATAAAACCTAAAAAGCAACGCTCTCCTGTCGGTGATATAACTACTGAAACTGAAACATTTACAAAGTCGATCAAAGAAGGCGATAATATAATAATACAAACTATAACTGTAAACACAACTAAAGAGGTAATTAGTCCAGAAAAAATAAAAATAACAGTAGAAACTATTACAGTAAGTAAAGGCAGTGATGGTGTAACTAAGACAACTAAATCCACTAAAACTACAATATCGGAATTTAAAGAAGAATATGAAGAAATTATAGATACAGGTGAAAGTGAAAAATCGTTTTCGAAACATTCGGTTACTAGTGATGATTTAGATCATCCTGGTATATCATCTCCTCCGTCAGATATTAGTTCAAGAGGATCTAGAGCTACCACTCACGTCTGGGGTACCGAAAGCAGTGGTTTATATTATAGTGATGATGATGGTCAGGGTAGTCCAAGCAGCACGAAATCTCAAATTGCTCATTCTCCAAGATCTAATCTTAGCTTTGAGTTAGACTCTAAATTACCATCTCAACGGGAAATAAGTCAAGAACTTATATCTGATAAACAAGATATCGATTCAGTTGCAATTAATAAAGATTTAATATCTTCTACGACATATGGACAATTAGCAGAAGATGATTCATGCACATCTTCAACTCACTCTGAGGTAAAGACTGAAATACACGTTACTGAAAAGCCACTTTCCAAAATCGCCGATGATTTTCTATCCCACGAAAAAATCCAATCACAAATTTCTGAACATAGTAGTAAATCTTCTGATGCAACTTTCTTAAGAGAGGCAGATGAACATTTTGAAAAGGCCATTGAAGAGCACAAGAAGGTTAGTGGCTCAGAAGTAATATCAAATATAACAGCTAAATATGAACTCGATCAACACTCATCTTCAAAAGATGAAACTACTATAACATTGAAAGATCTTAAAACTGAGTCTACTAAAAAAGTTACTGAATCTAGCTTTTCCTCTACAAGCAGCAGTAAGGAATCGAAAATTACAAAAACTGAAAAAAGTGAAACTCACACCATCTCTAAAGACCCCATCGAATCTTGGGGTAAACCACTCGGTTTGCCTAGTCCAGTTTTGCCACCGTCCCAATCAGATGGAAAGAGTACGCCTAAGAAACAAGTAACCAGCTCAACTGTTCTAAACAAAAACAAAATTAATCAAGAAAAAAGCAAAGAAGTTAAAAATCGTACTTCAGAATCACCCAGTAAAAAGAAATCCCCTGCGCCAGTATACATGGAGCTCACATATGTGCCCCACCATGGCAACTCATATTACTCAGCTTTGGAATTTTTCAAGCGTGTAAGAGCACGTTATTACGTGTTTTCCGGCACAGAACCGTCTAAAGAAATCTATAATGCCCTTTTAGACGCCAAGAAGACCTGGGAAGATAAAGACTTAGGTAAGTGGACAAGTAAAGAATATTCTGTTAATTGCAAATCTCGAACGTCTCTGTGTCTTAACATACAATAAAGTTCTTATTTTATCGTATAATATTAATATGTATGCAAAAGAGGCATTTAAAATATGAAGTCTGATTATATATAAAAAAAAAAAAAAAAGTTGGTTAGTATACAGTGAGAATGCCGTATGATCCCGGCATAGAATAGGCCACACTTTCTATTCCCATGGATGTCGTAAGAGGCAACTAAGGGAACTCAATGGTCGCAGGACGAGTAGCATCGTCCCTCTTAAAACATCACCAAAGGCTAACTGCAGTTGCCAAACCGCGTGCCAAGCGTGGCGACTACTGTGAAAACCTGAATGAGGGAGGTCTGTGTTCAGCAATGTACAATTAACAGCTGAAATAATAATAATAATATTTATGATGCAGGATGATATTTCTATTTCCACGAGGTTGAAACTACGAAGCGCTTCTCATTAATATGTAATGTGTTTGAGTCTATCGACTACTTTTCAAACGGTTTCAAAAAGAAGCATGTATAAATAAATAGAAAATTTGTCAAAATCGATTGAGTTGTTCAAATTTTAGTTGAAAATAATATTTTTACATATTGTTGGCCCACATATATTGCAACAGAAATAATTGAACGACATATGTTGATTGTCTATTCAAAGGGGTTTAAAAGCGGTAACCAAGCGGGGTACGATATCAATTTATTTATTTACAATTTACAATTTATTTTATTTGTATTCTATTTACCTTGTATACCTTTTTATCTCTACCTTTCCTGCACTAGATTACCCGCTAATTATTTTGTCTCTAACTGCATTGGGTTGGCTGAAACGGATCTCTTTTAGAGATAAGCCCACCCTTGCTAACAAGTTGTTAATCTAATCGTTGAATCTTTTGTTCAAGTGCAATAATATACTCTTATGTTTTTGCAAAATATTAAAGTCTCCTAAAAATATAACTATGTAATATTCTAACCTAACGTATTATTAAAATAGTTTTTATTTTATTTTCAGAAGTAACAATAATTCCCACGTACGACACGGACGTTCTTGGCTACTGGGTAACTGAAAATGAGGAAGCCCTGGAGAAATACAAGATAGACCTTTCGCCATCAGCGTCTCGCTGCACAATCAACCTGCAAGACCACGAGACCTCATGTGCTGCCTACAGACTCGAGTTCTAGGTGTCGGGTCTATTTGTAGCTTTCTCATCGAAGAAGTAAGCCACTCGTTAAGCATTAGATGCTTCTGAATACAGGAATCAATGAGTCATTTATTGTTGTAGGAAAAAAAAATAGGCTGTGATACAGATGGAAGCTTTCAAAAGCATCTATGCTATAAACTTAAAGGCTACTATTCCGTATGAGATAGTTTGCAAATAGATACACTTAGCGTATTGTGATATTTGAATGAAATTAACAGACTGTTGATGAGTTTGATAAAATCTTAGTTAATAATGTACCAAGTGATATACTAACTGAACAAAGTGCTGGTGTAGTCGTGTACGTCGCGCGATGTGTTTGTTTCGCGTGCCGCGGCCTACCGCCCACCCAAACTGACACAGTCCTTACCGCATCCAGTTTAGAAGTCAATAAATAACCAAATTCTCGACCTAAGAACAGAAACGTCCATTTTTTTCTAAAACTGTTTTCTAAAAAAAAAAAAAGCTTTCATTAAAATAGTACATGCCATTTAAAATATATTTCGGATGATATTTTGGTCTTATACAAACAGTAGTGCTTTTATACACAATTTTTAGCATAACCAGTCCATTTTGTTTAGCCAAAACATTGCTTGTGTATTCACACATCAAAATTTTCGAAAATTATTTTGCTATCGCATTGTGAAGTTTTAAATAGAAATTGTTGTACAAAAAGTTAGCGAACACGGCCACAAATTGTTTTTAGCGTAGTAATGCTTTGTAGGAAGGACGTGATATGATTCAAGTCGACATATTTATTGATAATATCTGTCAGATGTAAGATAAAAAAAAATCTGATGTACTTTTTTATGATCAAAATTTGAATAAATGAATTATATTTAACGAATTGTCTTATAAAGACACACTTAAAGATATAAAGTCGCTCGACAAGCTAGTGCCGCTTGCGCTAGTTCTAATAAATATTGTTAGAAGTGACTTATTGAATATTGTTATCAATAACATTCTAGAATGACAAAGATGACTTCTCGTCTCACACTTACAGATGAGTGACGTATGACTATATGAATCCATGTAGACGTAAGATTGATAACGGTTCTACCTAAACTATGTACTAAGTCAAGCTTGTTTTCACGAATGCGTTTCAATTGAGGTAGATATATATATTAGTTCAATCGACACATATGCCTGGCTGTGCTGAAAAAAATAACCGTCTAACGTAAGAATTATTTTTAGGTAAGATTTTGGATATATTCGGAACTTATTCGAGAATATTTAGAAAACCTGCATTTCTAAATGTTTTCAAATGTATTTCGAGTAAGCTCCTAAGATGTGATAGCACGTTTTGGCACAGCGAGGTACAAGAGTCGATTGCTTCGCAGAAAACGAAGTGATCTCTGTTCTTCTAGATCAACAGTGAGCCTAAAACGATAGAGAGCTTATCCCATTATAAAATAAATGTTTTACTAGGACTATTATTACAAAATGAACACTATTTACCTTTGTTTAAGTTGACTCTTGCTTGTTGCGTAAAGTTATGACATAGTTATATTAAATACGTGTTAAACATTTTGCTGATTTTGAAACGAACAATCGTAAATTGTAAAAGAGATAAATTATTTTATTTGTTGCAAAAATTTTATCATTGTCTCTATATATTTTTGAGTTGTTACATAACATTTTTAATCTAGTCGAAACGACCCAAATGCGAAAATGGTAGTTATGAAAATATTTGTTCCTAATCGTATTATGTTTATAATACCTTTTTTTAATTAAATATACCCGAAGCCTCATGTAATATACATAATTAAAATACAACTCCAGTAGATATTTATTTGTTTTACAATTAAATACTAATTTTCGAATGATAATGTGCGAATGTGATAATGTGGAAAAAAAAATTCATTGTTTATTTATCGTACCATCTAGTGAATAAGCTGTAACGCTCCCGGCTTTTCCACTCGACACTAACTTTAATTTCAGTAACACCATATGCCAATCTATCAAACTAAAGGAAGGTTTTGAGTCAATTAATTTTAAGTCATTCATAGTGATAAGCCGGTCTCGACGACACGCGTCATTATAACGCTTATTTTGCCTGCATCGTATTAAAAAAATAGCGAAATACCTATATCTGATCGCACCAGCACAATATACTAATAAAATATATATGTATATTAAAAGGTGAATAAAATATATCTATTAATGTATTCTATATATTTTTTTTTATGTAATACTTTAAAAGTATGAATGAGATTTTGTTTCTATAGTTATGTTATAATTATTATTGACATAGTATGCGTTTGATGTGTGCACAAGAAATAATTGTTTTCAATATACGATCAATGCTTAGGTAGTTGTGGATGGGACTAAACAGGGAGTGGTTAAATAAATGGTGTCGAAACCGTTGCACTGTTATATACTATATTATCTTCCGCTTTCTATCTTATGTAACTTATACATATATTGGCAGCTGGATGCAGTTTTTACTATGTCTATTACATACAAATGATTGCATATAATGTTAAGTTTGTTATGTTAATCTATCTGTTAACAATTGCAGTATGCAACAGTGCACCGGCGACGACGCATAGGCGCTTAAACGTGTGTAACGTTTCATTTTAATTAGGCTTACAATTAATTTAGCCGGCATCCACAATTTAGCTGGCTCAGAAGCCTGACCCAAAAGTTTACTATTGTATTTTATAGCTAGAACTCTAATTGAAGCATATTATTAGGAATATTAAAATGTTATTAAAAATTAAGAAATGTATCGGCTTAGTGAACATCAATAGCTCTGTGAAAATAAATCATTATGAAAATTATTAAATGTTCTATCATTCCGGCTGTGGTCTCTATCGAACACTGTAATGAACATCACGCCGACCGGCCTTGACCACGCAGCGGTTGTTGAAACGATTGTCTATGGATGAGTGAAAACAAAAAAAAAAAAAACTATATTTTACTAATCGAAAGAATTATTTTAAATACGTGTACAGCAATAATGGTAACACGAAGTTATCCTATTTATGTTATCGCAATATGAAAATAGGTTTTTTTTTCGAATTTACAAAATCACAACGATTTAAATGATTAATAATATAAAATATAAATAATTTTATTACATTGATTTGAATAAAAAAAAAATGAAATATAATTTTCAGAGTGATAATTTTTTAATTCTTATTATATATATATATATATATATATATATATATATATATATATATATATATATATATATATATTATATATATATATTATATAAGTTATCATTTTCCAATACCATAATATATTGGAAGGAGATCTCTCCAAGGTATATAATGATTACATCGGTTGATAAGACAAAGTGGTTATAGATAGGTAACTTGTAAGCTTTTGTGGTGCTACATACAAGATGAAATTGTTAATGGGAATTTGATGAGATTTACAAGTAAATTGCAACTTAATTTTGTTACATATAAATAACGATATAACGATAGCTAATGAATTGATGAAATTTCGTCACGATTTACTTGTGAATGACACGCGTCGTGGTTTGGATAGTGAAATGGCTTTTTGATGGACAATTAAAAACAAGAAAATGTGAGAGAAAAATAAAATATGATTTTCCGCTACGATTGGTACATTTTTTGTCGGCACAAAGCAATAATTGGCTTACAAGCTTAACTCGCACTGGCAACTTTAAATCTTATTGCCGTTAAAAAAAATGTATCCAATTAATACATTATGAACATCTTTAATAATTTAAATAATGATTATGATCCTTAAATGGATGTTAGGTATTTATAATAATTATAGTATTATGTAAATTAAAACGTAAAAAAAAATATCCATTAAATGTATTTGGTCACGTCGCTATTCTCCATTCAGCGTGTTTGATGGAAGTGTATGGGTCATTAAAAGTAATAAAAACAATAAAATGTTACAGTCTTTTTTATTTCGTTAGATAACCTATTCCTAAGTTTGAGGTTACAGCGCTGGGTCTATGCAGTAGCAACGTTTGCACGGCGTATTCAAAGATCAGGCTCCCTAAACAAAGTGCAAACGAATCTAATGATAGAATCGCCATCCATAGAATAGCTAGTCCATGAAGTAGAATAAAATGGCAACTTTTTAAATGATTGATTGCTAGCAATAGGGTTTCTAGTATTTATTTGTTAGTAAATTCTACAATCAGTAATAGATGATTAGTCCTCATTAGTCAGCTATAGCCTACCTCCAAAATGTCGCCTCTGGAAACTGTCGTGGTCATTTCCTCCTATCTTCACCTATCATTACTCACTCACATATGGATGCCTGCAATATTAGGAGTATTAAGCGTGCATTGCCATCCCTGGAGATATCTTAATATAGTATTGTTGAAGAACCCCATACTGTAGTCACAGCTTGAGCGTTCGCGGGAGGAAATTTCCCTAAAATCGCATTGTATATGACCATTTAAAAAAAAATTAGATTGTAAGCTATGTAAACTGACGGCAGTTGGTTCTAACAATAAACTTTTTTTTTATACAACTTAGAATAGCAAACAAGCTGACGACCCACCTGATGGAAAATGGTAACCGTCGCCTATAGACATGAGCAGTACCATGGACATAACAGAGTATACTGTTTCGCCCATGATACCCCCCATGCGCTGCCATTCCTGAGAACTCAGATGTTATTCCTCTGTACCCTGTAAATTCACGCCATATCCCACCATTCAAACCGAAACACAGCCATGCAAACACGACTGCTTCACGGTAGAAACACGAATGGGAACAGAGATACCCAAGCAATCGACATTTGTACAAAGTCTCCCTCTGGTAAACCAATATAATATATTCTCTCTTTGTATTCCCAGGAGATAAAAAACATTGTTGCTAAGAACATTTTCAATTTCGTATCACTGACAGGAATTAGCAGTAAACTGTAAAAAACGACGGATACTAAATATCCTAGTGGTCGCAGTGTTAAAAGTTTTTCTGTCTTCCACTTTACAATACATACAAGAAGTATATTCCACAACCCGAATGTTCGCAAGAGGAAGCCCCTTTAAATGCGTGAACATTCTGGTTCTAAGTTTGGGTTCCATGCCAATGGGGACCGGTACGATGGTGAAAGGCAGCTATAGGTATCAAATTGAAAAGTTTTTAAAACACAATAGAATCATTGTGCGCTCAATCTCTCGCTAGCATCAAAACCTCTGTTAAAGCCCATTATCTCTCCCTTTAAGTACTATTTTCCCATGTTCTGTCTTTATCTTCCAGTGTCACTCTCTCCTGTACCTATCTATATATATATATATATATATATATATATATATATATATATATATATATATATATATATATATATATATATATATATATATATATATATATATATATATATATATATATATATCTTTGTATATATTTGTTTATATATAATAGTGCGCCACCTACCCTTTGTTTTTCTTTCATTTCTCAATGTTCTCTACCCAAAGGTTGTGTGGAAGAACTTGCTTAGCGATAAGGCCGCCTTTTGTATTATTTCTTATTACAGTTAAATGTGTTTACTATTTTATAAATGGTGCAATAAAGTGTAAATAAATAAATACATATTTATTTAGCACACATCTCAAATAGAATTACATTCTATTACTTTTGTAGACTTTAGTAAGGTAGAAGATAAGAGTAAAAAAAACACACACACAAAACAGTAGTTCATTAACATTTATCTTTTAATATAACATACAGAAATAATACATATTGGCGTTATAAAAAATATTTTCCTGGGTAGGCCTGGTTCTCTTAAAATAGGCGTATTACTCTCAGATATGTCTTTACAAAGGTTCGTTTAAATCATGGGGTGGACACTAGACAATTATGAGATAGGCACAGCCCATTTGGTCCCTCTTTAAATACAACAATGCTAGTACATTACAAAATATATAAACATAGTTTGCAATATATATTTTGGGCAGTGAAAACTATTATAAACAAATAAGATCGTTCTAGAAATATCTGTCTACTTATTGTAAAGAAATCTGTTAAAAATTCATCTAATTAAAGAATTTTAATTAAAAATAATAACTACTTACAAACAAGCAATAATTAATTTATTTTATATATTTTTTTACATTAATTATTGTAAAATTATTATTACTCTTATGTTATGTACTTACGTATGTGGTATTCTTTTTCACTGGCCATTTTCCGACACTTACCGCGTGAATGAATTAGTATAAAAATAGATATGTTATAACAAACATGGCACATCAAATTTCATTGGATTCTATTTAAGCGTTACCGAGTGATAAACAAACAAACATCTTTTTTTTATACAACTTAGAATGGCAAACAAACTGACGGCCCACCTGATGAAAAGTGGTAACTGTCGCCTATAGACATGAGCAGTACCATACATAACAGTATATTGTTTCACCCATGATACTCTCCATGCGTTGCCATTCCTGAGAACTCAGATGTTATTCCTCCGTCTGAGATGTAGTTACATACTGATTGGGATAAGACTGTTCACCGACAAAACGATTGGGATTATTTCGGTGGATGTAACCCTCCACATTTTGCTCACCTCATGAGCCAAGTTAATATTATTTATATTGTAAGGACCAATATAAATTAATTTTCTAATAAATGTAAATAAAAGTTAGTATAATCCTAGTTTAAGATTGTACAAAAAATATTAATTTTGAGATATAATTAAATTTAAAAAAAAATGATTAAAAGATAAATTTAAAAAATGGCATCACATAATCGGCCCCACTGTCAACAAAACTCGTTTACTCTTTCATTAATTTCTATTGAAATACACTATAGCTACATCTTAGGTTTTAAGTATTACATAAAATTGAGTTACCTGACAGTTTTTAGACTACTGCACATATGTAGGTACAATCTAGTCACTCTACTCTACTCTATAACCCTACGAAAGTGCTATTAAGAAAAACTGTTCCATATATTGTTTGTTATTGATAAATGCTTATATATTACCACCAAGCAATATAACTAATTATACATCGCGCCTCCCAAAAAATCGTTTCTCTCCTCTCCATCCAAAGGTTACCTGGAAGAGATCGCTTTTAACGATAAGGTAGCCCATTGTTTTTTCATTGTGATTATTTCTTGTAATTGTTTATATTTATGATAAATTTACTATTGTAATCTTTTGGAGGAAACAATAAAGAGTATCTATCTATCTATCTATACAATTGATAGTATCTCCAATACATTTAATTCTTATATTTATAAAAAAAAATATTTAAATAAATAACTATCTAACTTTGGAATGATTCAAGTAAAGCATTTAGTAAATAAATATTTATAACAAAACGTATTACTTTACAGTTTAATATAACTATAATTAGGCAATAGTACTAACTTTTAGACTTTCGCCCGACACGCTCTATGTTTTGTAAAAGACAATTAGATCCACGAACAATGAAATCAAGAAACATAAATCGAGAATACGGTAAGAAAATCTCCGCAATCCGGAGCTCAAGTAATGCAAAAAACATTACCTCGCTATAGTGTGCAGTTGGTAAATGCATCGAAACATTTCTCATAAATATATTATCACATAGGTTTACCATCTTACAATTTTATAATTCATTATTTGAATACATACATTAATACCAGGGGTCGGCAACCTTTTTAGTCGGAACAGTCAAAAATGACAATTTACGAAATTTCAAAGTTATTAAAGAGCCACAAAACAATTTACTTGCCAACAATAAATAGTATTTTCATTTAATTTAATTTAATTTTCGCTTAATCCTCGTTAATCGATTCAAAACGATTTTTATTTTTTTTTATATAAATAAATAAAAATTGCATATAGAACTAAAGAGCCGAACTTCATATCCAAAGAGCCGTAAGTTGCCGACTCCTGCACTATTTTTTTCGACATACACGAGGAAAGGAGAAATATTTTTGGCGTAAATTGTACTTTATAAATACATTTATTATTACTAATCGTGTCTAGAATAGATTTCAAAATTGCTTTGTGATTAATTAAATAATAACAATTATATAAATGATTAAATAAATAATAAAATAATCCCTAACTACCAAATAATTTAGTTTAATATTAGATAATGTAATTAATTGACATTTAAAATCACTGGACTGTTAATAAACCTTAATATACACTTAAAAACTTCTGTTTTAAACTGTATTTTTCATTTACTTATATTAAAGTCAATTGCATACATTCCGATACAAGTGTAAACAAATTCTCTATGTAAATATCTTTAACAGATATCGCTCGATATCTAAATACAGAGGGCCTATCATGAAATGTTTTCCGAAATCTCGGAGTCGAACGAAACACAAGTTTGATGTTAAAATTACATAATACTTACAGTTTAAAAACATTAAAAATATTAAAATATTATTCCTTTGGACTTTTATGGCAGGATTTGTGACGAACGAAATGTTAATCTCCATTTACTGGGCTGTATTAGGTATGAACGAAAACACGAAATTGAGTCCGATACTTCGGAATTTCATTTCATGGTAGGCCCTCAGACGTCTAGAGTGGTTGATGACAAAATATAATTCTTGATCCGTTTGTAACAAAAAACTATAACAGTTTTTATAATAATAATATTGTTATTATTAAATAATATTGTTGCAGTTGGTACATTCTACTATGCCGGAGGTCGGCAACCTATTGGCAGGCAAGTGCTAATTAGTGGCAAAGTGAATTAAATGCAGGCCGCACTTGTCTATAATTATGATAATTGATCCTTTTATCGGTGGTTATAAAAATGCGAAAATAACTTGTTCCTTTTTTGAAAAAAAGATTACAAATAATTATAAATTTCTTATACAAGAAATTCAAAGAAGACTTACTAAAAACACTTATTAAAAAAATATTTATTGTTTGTTTGTAAATGAACGTGAGGTTTAAAAAAACTTAAACCTTAAATTCAGGTTTATAAAACATTAATTTACAAAACAAGCCACGGACCGCTGGTTGCTGATTGATGTACTATGTAGTTGTTACAACAATATTACTCTAACAATAAATACTGTACTTACAAGTGTAATGTAAAATATTATTTTATATTATGTATAGTTATTTATATATGTATTGTATATGATTTATGTTTGTATATTTTGTAAGTATATTATTCTATATGTTTGTATGTTTATTTATCATAAACTGTTATCTTTTAAAATATTTATTTTATTTACAATTTTTTTTTAAATCTATGCACCGCCAATTGCTTTCTCTGTTTATCGTAACGGTTGACTGGTAGAGAATGCCATCAGGCATTAAGTCCGTCCTGTAGACGTTAAATGTGTGCAAAAATATAAATAAATAAATAAATATTATTAAGAATATAATTTCATTTAGTTTCACTCATTAGTCATACTTATTTTTAATACACAATACAACTACATTAATACTGGCAATGTAAATTTGTTTATAACAAACATTATAGTTTATTTAAATCACAACACTACACTAGATTCATTCTAGTTCTTTGTTTTAACTTAATATTTATATAAATTATAAAGCTATAATATAATGTCAAAAAAGGTTTGAATGATTTATTTTACATGTTTGTAAAGTCAAAACTTAACTGTCACAATAATAATAAACGTAACTGTCAAAATATAAACTGTCATTACGTTTTGGTGTAAAATACTTGTCAAATTTTAATGAAGATAATGCTGCTTGATATAACATATATCAAACCAACCAATCAATAAATTCAATTACTACTATTCAATCCACTCATAGTGAATTGTACTCTGTATATTAGTATATTACTTATATATTCTCTCTCATTTACAACTCTAGATTTGAGAAACGTCAAAACGTTTTATACTCATATATTCTCATATTTGAGAAATGTCAAAATGTTGCTTGAAATATAGTATATAGGAATTCCATTCAGTGATACTCTCTTTATTTATTTATTTTATTGTTAGCGAAGCAAACGAGCAGACGGTCCACCTGATGGGAAGCGGCTGCCGTCGCTCTTAAACACTTGCAAACCGAGAGGAGTTGCTTGAGCATTGCCGTCCTTTTTTTGTTCGTTCAGTAAATACGAGTACATTAGGAATGTCACTTGAATCTCATATCGTCGGGTTTCCTTATGAAGTACGCGACCCGTTCTAACGGCACTTTGTATTCGTGCATCCACCTGTTCCCCTTGCGAAGTGAACCGTCGATGCCGTCTTGCCAAAGTCCGGCAGGGAGATATACTGCACAGAATATAAAAGAATTTAAACAATTTAAGCACTATATAGGTACATCTTGGTGGAGGTGTGCATATATAGCAACAGCTGAGGCGGCTCCAGCAACCAGCAAAATGAATTGTTTTTTTTTTCTTTTTGTAAAATGTACTGTAATGAAAAATTGAACATAATACAAGCAACCAACAAGAGAATATACAATTTGACTTACAATTTAACACATTTTGACTTAAATAATTTTAAACTCAAAATTGGTGTACGAGTACACAAAATATCAGTCGAACTGAGAAATTCATTCTATCTACTTTAGGTACATTTTAAATTATGAATTGATTCTATTAAAATTAATTTACAATAAATATATTTAAGTGAAGTATCATCATCTCAGCCATTATCTGTCCACTGCTGAACATAAGCCTCCCTACAAACTGCAATAAAGTGAAGTATAAACATACATAATTGTTAGTAGGTAAGCATCTAAAGAAATAATAATAAAAAGTTGTGATTTTGGAAAATACTAGGTATATCTCTCTAAAGAAAATAGACTGTCAAATACAAAACTATAAAACATGCCCTTCTAAGAAAAGATTGTAAATGAAAAGAAGTTAAAAAAAAATGCCAATTGAACTGACTTACAAAAATAATAATCGATCTATTTAGTTGAATATTATAAATATTACATTAAAAGTTCATAATTTCAAACTCACCTTCTCTAGTAGTCTCTCCGGGATTAAGTATGGGTGCGACGACAATCTCATCGCCTATTGCGAACTCATCCTGAACCATCAAGGCCGCATCACCTCCAGACACCAACCATAAAGGTCGGATCAATGGCAATCCTTCTTCTAGAGCTTCTCGCTTATATTTCAGCAAAAGAGGTGTAATCTGAAACAAAACGACCACTAAAATTTGATTATGTAGTCTAAAATCTAGGTTAATGTAATACAGCTTCATTATATAACACTTCGTCTTCATTATTATTATAATTAGTGTCGATGATGTAATTATATTTATGTAATTAGTGGTATACAGTAGAGATAAAATACTCATTAGAAACTGGTACAAATCAGTATAATAACATTGATAGTTTTACTTAATTTACACTAATTCATAGCCGTATCTAACAAGAATTTTATTAGTCTTTACAAATGATTTCATTGTTTAGAAATATTTTACTCAAGGCCCATTTACTCGTAAGTACACTTTATGAATACTTACTAATTTTTGTCGCAAAGATGTCAAATTCTTCGCCATCTCTAGTACCTTTTCATCATTGTATTTACTCGGCAAATGAGTGAATTTCATCACTGGCAAGAACGTGGCCATTTGCAGCCATCTTATATACAATTCCCTTTCCGGCAACTCTATTCCATTCTCTTGCGTTGTGTTTGTCATATTTGTCTCCATGAATCCTTTTGAAAACGGCAAGAATTGCTCACTGCCAGGCCAGTATATATCCCCGCCTACCGCACCGGGCATTACGAATGGATACCCATCAACTCCATATGTCAACATCGCTGGTATAACCATTGCCATAGCTTCCCACGATGATTCAAAAGGAGGCAACGATACAAAAATTGGTGGTCTCGGCAAAAAAACAGCTGATGAAACACCAATTATGTTTAGGGTTTTTTCAAAAGTCTTAGTAAATAATGTTTTGTATTGATCTGGGTTAATAAGTCTCTTCTCACACTCATAATAGTGAGGCATATCGTAAGCAACTCCTAAATCAAAGTAGAAAGAGTCAATATGATATTCATCTATAACGGCTTCTAATTTTTCTAATATCCATGGAACTGATCTGTTATTAGTTATGTCTAATACTCCAGCACTGGCCAACGATTTGAATCTTGTTAGAGCTGGAATTCTTCTATCACTATTTCGTTCACTTATGAGCAATCTTCTTTGAACACATTCAGCAAAATTCACACTTTCAGTACTTACAAAGGGTTGAATTGTAAACGCTACTTTAAAACCTCGTCTATGCAGTTTGTCGACAGTTATATTTAACGTTTCAAATCTATTTGTGTCTACAGATAAATCACCGATTTCGTTCTGCCAAAACTCATTTATAAGAACGTGACCTTGTTTTAGAAAACCTAAATTAATGACATCCTCTGTGTATTGTGATATTGTCTCGGCTTGCAGTTCGTGTTTGAAACGGGGTGCAATTTGCCATACTGGTTCTGATATTAGAGACTCCAAGGTTTGCATATCAGCTGGCTTTAAACCATCCCATAGTGGAGCTCTTCTGTGGTTGTGAATAGACGAATGAAGAGACTTCATATCGTGCGATGTGCATATATTGTACTTCATCTCGGGAAATTCTGTGAGCTTATTGACATAAGCGAAGTCATCATATTTTGCTCTAACACAGATTTCCTTTCTAGCACTATTAATGGATACTTGAAGGGGGGTTTCTTCATCAATTATGATGGCGGCTCCTTTGGAATTGATTAAGTACCTCGACAGGACATTGCTCCATTGTGACTTCTGTATGTCGCCGGTGATAAACGGCGTGTAATCAATGGACCCTGTATTCAGGGGCCAAGTTATATTAAGTGATTGTGCTCCGCCGTACCAATGCACTTTTGTATCGGTCCAATCAAAGCAGTCGTTAGGATATACATCTGAAAATTTATATTAATTACTAACAATATAAAACATTCCGAAATATTGATGGCTAATAATAAAATAGCTTGAAATGAAGCAGTTCTTAAACTCTATTATGAATTTACAATATTTTTCAATAAGCAGTTAACTAAATTAGTTGGCAATGATTAAGTAAAGCAAAAGAATATGAGAATTTTTAATTTAAAAATGCAAAATAGATTTAAAAATTTACCGTTTCTTAAAGCTTTCCAATGGACAGAATAGCACGTAGTATTGTCAACTCCAGGGTCGTGCGGCAGACACTTGAGATAGAAGCGTAGTGTGTGCAACCATTCCAAACACTCGGACCCATCGTTCCGCCTGTCTTCAGGCAGACACGGGTAAGACTTCACTTTTCCTTCTAGACCGACCGCTGAAAATATAATAAACTATATAATTCATCAAAACTGTAACTGCCGATACTTTATGAATTCTAATTTTTCTAGTGTATTATAGGCAAAAATAATACATTTTGGATATTATATCTTTTTATACAACTTAGAAAGGAAAACGATATATGAATTTAATCAATAAGTAAATGCATTTACATAAGATAAAAATCATGGTGTTGATTTTCATTTTATGAGTATAAAAGCTCAATGTCGAGCATTGTGAACTAAAAATCTGTATGACAGTATCCAGTTACTATACTGCCATACCTTTTCTTTTAAATTAGAACAATAATAGCTTTGCTCCTCCACGTTGATGAAGAAATACGCAAGTAAGTTAATAATTTCGGGAAACAATTATTAGTTATAAGGTTTATATTTTTTTTTATGTAACTTAAAATGGCAAACAAGCTGACGGTCCACCTGATGGAAAGTGGTAACCGTCGCCTATAGACATAACAGAGTATACTGTTTCGCCCATGATACCCCCATGCGTTGCCATTCCTAAGGACTCAGGTGTTATTCCTCTGTACCCTGTAAATTCACTGCCACATCCCACCCGTCATACTGAAACACAGCGGTGCAAACACAACTGTTTCACGGTTGAAACCCGAATGAGACAGAGGTACCCAAGTACAAAATTTCTCTCTAGTAATTATTTGTTATTATATTATAGTTGTACAATTATTAGAACCATACAGTTAAATCATCAATCATTAAAAAAATATTTCGATCAATATGTCAGCAAATTACCTAAAGTAGCTTTTAGTATCTCATGATCGTCTCTGTTGAAGATCCTGATTATTCTCTTGGGTTCGTTGAACTGTACGTTATCGTAGTAGGCCTTCGTCAACGCTTGCTGGTGGTACAACACGTAGGCAAAGCCCACAAAGAACGCCACTGCAAGGAACATGAGACCGACGAATGCACGGAGCTTGTAGTCTGTGGGCTTCTTTCGGATCTTTTGCGGAATACTCTGGAATGAGAGTATATTAATATATATATATGTATGTATGTATGTGTGTTTGTGTATATATTTATGTAAATGTTTATAATTTATCAATAATCTAAATTAATTGACGACTAGTTTCAATTGTGGAAGTGCAGTGAGTATTTTAGAGTTATATGTGCTCTGATAGTGCATCATAAAAATACGTTTACAAAACAGGCTTACAACTTTAAAAGGCTTTGCTTTTCTAATGCTAAAAATTGTATTAATCTTGTTAATTACTTCATCGCCGTCATCATCATGGTGATATCAGTCCTTAACCGCCAACTGCTAAACATAAGTCTCCACCATGGCTGCAGTTAGACTTTAAAGATGTTTTAAGGGGGACGCTAATGCCCATCCCTTGCCGTCCCTTAGTCGCCTTTTACGACACTTACAGAAACGGAAGTAGTGGCCCAGTCTATGGTGGGAACACACGGCCAATTAAATACTTAAATTACTTAATATTAAATAATTAAAATTTTAAATTTAGTTTTAACACATAAATCATTGCCATTTTATTTATTTATCTTAGATATATCATAAGTAACCAACAATTGACTGGCTGTTTTTAAGACAGTTTTCAACACACGACGCTTCATCTTGAATTCAAGATACTTTGTGATTTATGTCGACCACTAAAATGTAAAGATTTTTTTTTATACAACTTAAAATGGTAAACGAGCTGTTGACCCACCTGATGGAAAGTAGAAACCGTCGCCTATAGACATGAGCAGTACCATGGACATAACAGAGTATACTGTTTCGCCCATGATATCCCCCATGCGTCGCCATTTCTGAGGACTCAGATGTTATTCCTCTGTACCCTGTAAATTCACGCCATATCCCACCCTTCAAACCGAAACACAGCGATGCAAACATAACTGGTTCACGGTAGAAACACGAATGGGACAGAGGTACCCAAGCAATCCTTTTAACTGATACATTTTCGACTTAGCCATAAAAAATTTCTTGAAGTCGATTAACTAATAATTTATTTTCTTATCAAGCTCCTCATAAAGTGATACAAACCTGTAATTTCTCTTTGAGAAGGCTAGCGAGGGAGTTTACAGATGTGACGGAGTTACTTGGAGAATAATCTTCCTCGTCCATACTGAACTCGGAACGTCCCAATCTTCTGGGCTTGCGGCGCGGAGACCGGAGTGGGGTCCTGGAAGACAATATAAGCCTTTCTAAAGATCTAAAGTTAGTTGCTATAAATGCTATGTTTCTATAACACTAAAGAATGCTAAGGTTTTATTTTATGGTGAAAAGAGAACGGCATCCCCATCTGCGCTAACGGGATACGTTGGCAGGGCACCAGTGAAAGGTGATAAATGAAAACAGGCCAGTTAGCTCGTTATGATGAATTCATCAGGAATTGGACAGGGCAGGTATTAATCACGCCGATTTCCAGAGGGAACCACGTGGAGGTTGACCTGATAGGGCTGATAGATTTTGCTAGCAATGGGGCTGTTAGAATTTATTGGGTACGAACAATCCCTTTTTCCCCAACATATGAATGCCAGGATAGAGATTATTGGCAATATTATTTTAAAAAAATGTTTATTTCCTGTTTAATATAGTCTGAAGAATATTTCCGAACGAAGTCGAAACAATTTTCGGAAACAGTAAACACAGTAAGTCCACTAAATTCCCGATACTATTTGTTAAAATATAGGTACCTATTCCTTGAGATTGAGAAATATTTACGAAACACTAATTGAATTATAAAATAACAATTACATAAATACATATCATCATCATCATCATGTCCAGTCATGTCATCACCACTGAACATAGGCTTCGTAGGGGGGGAAAGGGATTATTAGTAATGGAGACTAAGAATCCCATTGCTAGCAATATACCCAACCAGGTCGACCTCCTCGCGGTTCTCCCTGGAAACTATCATGGTTAAATCCTGATGAATTCGTCGTGATGGGCTAACTGGCTTGTTTTTATTCTCATCTATCACCCTTCACTGGTGCTCCGCCAGCGTATCCCGATATCGCAGGCGGGGTTATCATACCATTTTCACCCATCAAAAAAAAAAATAGATATTCATATATAATGTATGTAAAGAGATATTTTATGTCTATGTATATATGTATATGTATTATCGTATACAGATATGTATTTATTTTGATTTTAATTGTATGAGTTACTTATATATGTCAACATATTTCATATTTTTTAATAGAAACATCTATAATGTTTCCTTCTATTATTGTACGCACACTGCCCGCTAGTAATTAATACTTCTTTCCACTCAGGGTTTGCTGGAAGAGAACTCTTATAGAGTTAAGCTCGCCTGTTGTACATCTTTATTTTATATATATATTATATGTTGTAATTTTTTCTGTGTACAATAAAGAATAAATAAATAAATAAATAAATATAATAATTATACTAAATGCACTTAATTATCTGATTACATTATGAGAATCTAAATACATTTGATTATAGTAACCACTTGTTAATGCTGCCACCGTCTGGCCAAAGTTCAATAAACATATGCAATGCACTACGATGACATTTTGATATATTTTTTATTTTATTTTATTAGACATTAACTGTCTACTGCTCAACGTGGATCTCTCCTATATGGAGAATTTTTCCAGTAGTTGTCACGCTTGGCAGGCGTCCTGGCAACCGCAGTTAGGCTTTGGTGATGTTTTAAGAGGGACGCTGATGTTCATCGCTCGACAATTGAATTCCCTTAGTCGCCTCTTGTGATACCCACGGGAAAGGACGGTATCGCACATTCTATTTCGGGACCATACGGCACATTTGGAGATATATATATATATATATATATAATATGTATATATATTAATTAATTAAATATATTATTTATGCATCATTTATATAAGTATGTATCTATATAATATAATTTTATCTTTGTCAACAGACACACACACACACACACACACACACACACACACACACACACACACACACACACACACACACACACACACACACACACACACAAGTTACACTCTGGGTTAGTTGTACGCGTCCGTGTAGCCTAACTTCAGGCTTCAGCTGAAAATCAGTGTTTTGCTTTTAAGCAAAACCATCACTGAGCTGTAGCCTATTTGGGTCACTGCGATACACATGGCGAAAACCATATTTTCATATTTTATCTTTTGTTGTATATTTTGAAAAGTGTAAATAATTTAATTGTATAAACTCATTTGTAAATTTTACGTGTGTCATAAATAGCTCAAATAAAAAGTTTATCTATCTATCTATCTATATAAATATATATATCGCGATTGGCTAACAGACAGGATATTTTGGGGGCAATTAATCAATCAAGTTAAGTTTCGGTTTAGAAAACGTCGTTTTATCTGTGTTTTTAGGCAATGAAAAACTACTACAATAACATTAGAATACGAAGGTAAATTTCGCCACAATCTTAAATAGAAATATACGTACATCTCTAACACAGTATGTAATATTATCAGGGAACATAAAAATCGGTCATAAACGTTTTATTTTTAGACCATTATCTCTTTATAAATATGAATGTTTACGCATAATCAAATATACGAAACACTAAATATTATGTACTATAATTAATATATTTATAATTGTTTAAATACTAATTGTTTCCCGCGGTTTTGTCAATGAAAATCAGTATATAATCTAACTTATATGTTAAGGCGCAAACCACTAACAAGTGTATTCCCAAAGAGGGTTGACGTCAGGCAGGCGGACGGTCGTAAAACTGTAAGGCAAATCTTTTTGTAATATGGATAAAAAATATATTACGCCGACCCCAAATAATAATTGGGATAAGGGTGGATGGTGATGATGATGATGATGAAATGGTACTCTATAAACTCTATATCCTTCATTCCACAAAGCACATGTATACTAAATTTTATAATGATTAATTGAGTCCATTCAGGTGATAAAACGTAACAAATACACTTTCACATATAAACACGAGTAAAAGTCCAAATTTAAAAAGTACACAATGTTCGATTTATACATACATATTTTTTGTACGGCCGTGTCCTACGTTCTCAGATTTGCACTTATCCATTAAATTATGAACTGACAGATGTATGGAACAATGAATACGTTGAAACTGAGGTCTAGATCAGTGATAATCAGGAAATAGTGTAAAGTGGCTCATGTCTGTGCGTACGTATGGCTATTTACATCATACATACAAACTTTTTTTTTTCATTTTATTTAATGTTCATTTAATTTTTTTTTATATGACATAGAATGGCAAACAAGCTGACGGCCCACCTGATGGAAAGTGGTAATCGTCGCCTATAGACATGAGCAGTACCATGGACATAAAAGAGTGTACTGCTTCGTCCATGATTTGTACTCTGTACCCAGTAAATTCACTGCCATATCCCACCCTTCAAACCGAAACACAGTCATGCAAACACAACTACGTCACGGTTGAAACACGAATGGGACAGAGGTACCCAAGCAAACGATTTTTGTACAAAGTCTCCCTCTGGTAAGTCTTATACATTTTATTATAGTTTTAATTTAATTTTTATATTTTTCTTATATCTTTAATTATTGATAATTATTAACTTACTATAAAAAGCCTAACTATGGTTGTCAGGGGGGAAGGGATTGTTAGTAATGAAATTAACAGTCTTAATGCTAGCAATACACGCTATCAGGTCGACCTCCACGCGGTTCCCTCTGGAAACCATAGTGGTTAATTATTACTTAATTGATGTCTATGGGCCAACTGGTCTGCCTTCATCCTCATCATTCACCCTTCACTGGTACAAGCCAGAAAATACAGATAGCGTAGGCGGGATTACCATTCTATTTTCAACAATAAAAAAAAACTATGATTGCCAACCGGCCTGCCAGGGGAGAAAGGGATTGTTAGTAATGGGGTCAAATAGCCCTATTACTAGCAATATACCCTGTCAGGTCGACCTCCACGTGGTTCCCCCTGGAAACCATCGTGACTAATTCTAGTTTAATTCGTCAGGATCGGCTAACTGACCTACTTCCGTCTTCATCTGTCATCCCTCACTGGTACCCCGCCAGTGTATACCGATAGCGCAGACGGGGTTACCATACCATTATCACCCATTAAAAAACACCCCGCCTGCCAAGTCTGCCAAAACCCACCACGGGGTAGCCCTTGGTGAGGTCAGCTATCTTTTATCATCAGCTAAATCATCAGATCAGCTATCTCCCCATTATAGACGGAGGTCTATGATGGACAGATAGCTGGTATGGCGGTGATGAATAACTTAGTATAACAATTGAGACCGCAGTCTAGACATACTTTACATAAACTTCAAGTCAAATATTTAGTTACTGTTTCTACCGTGAAGCAGTTGTGTTTGCATGGCTGTATTTCGGTTTGAAGGGTGGGATATGGCGTGAATTTACAGGGTACAGAGGAATAACACCTGAGTCCTCAGGAATGGCAACGTATGGGGGGCATCATGGGCGAAACAGTATACTCTGTTATGTCCATGGTACTGCTCATGTCTATAGGCGACTGTTACCACTTTCCATCAGGTAGGCCGTCAGCTTGTTTGCCATTCTAAGTCGTATGAAAAAAAAATTGTAAGCAAAGTACATAGTGTTCTACGTACATTTCCTGGTTAGTCCGATTTCATGATTTGTACTAACAATTTTCTTTCTTTTCCTTATGCAAACTGCAACTGTATAAGAATGGACTCGGAAAATTGAAATAATCTCTGTTATGCAATCTACTTAGCTAAGTATTATTATTATTATGTTTTCCTTGTGCTATTCCTTGCCTATTTATATGTGTCCTAGTATCAGGTACATATTTAACATATATGCATAGGATTAAATATTGTAGTATATTGTTTATGGGCGAAACAGTATACTCTGTTATGTCCATGGTACTGCTCATGTCTATAGGCAACGGTTACTACTTTCCATCAAGTGGGCCGTCAGCTTGTTTGCCATTCTAAGTTGTATAAAAAAAAAATGAAATGCAATACCAGTTTTTACAATAATTTTGCACCATATGCATTGATTAATAGGTATAAAAGTAGCCTATGTGAAAGACCGCATAGGCTATACTTTTATCCCACAGAATATAATGAAAGACCATCCCATACACTGTGTGTACACAAGATAGATAGATAGATAGATAATTTATTTGCATTACTTACAGCACACAAATTA